TTCCTAGTCCCTCACCACTGGGCACAATAATTCCCTTCACTGTGGGACAGTTTGTGCTTGCCTTCAGGGAACCTCAGGGGCTATTTTGCTCATGTGTACTTCCATCAAGGAAATTATAAGCTCCTTGATTAATAGGGAAGATGTCTTATTGAAATATTTACATCCTCTAGCACCTTGCTTAGAGATCAAGCATATGGTACTCAAAGGACAAAATGATGGCCTTACTAAGAAGATTCAAAAATGAGAACCAGAGGAAACAGCTAACCATCTTCACACCTTAAATGTAAAAGGCAGAGGTACTTAAGTATTGTGCCGTCAGATCGTTCAAAGTAGGCCACAAAATCCGGAACATTTTGTCATTGTTTATTTTTTAGTTATTAGGTATCTATACTGTTACTGTAAGATATGTCACAAAGATATGGAGCTAAGCCATTCACACGTTCCACGTACAGTAGAGTTAAATTTGATTAAGTAAAAGGTAAGGGCTATTATGCAATGTCATATAATAGTGAGTAGTTATTGGAACAGCTAAGAATTTTGTTTCTTGAATACCCAAGACATGTAATCAGGACAATAACCACTTGTAGCAGAGTCTACAGACATCTCCAATATCTGCTTTCCTCTTCTTCATTAGTAATAAAACTGTGTAGTTTTACATGGTGGTCATTGGCCACTTTCATTAAAGGCTTTATTTCTCAGCCTCCCACAGTTGCATATAGCCATGTGGCTAAGTTCTGGCTAAAGGGATGCACCTGGAGTGTCTGGTGAAACTTCTGGGAAGTGTCTTTAAAGGAATGGGTGTTCTCTTCTTCCATTATTTCTCTTTGCTGGCTGGAGTTTGGGCCATGTGTTGACATGGAGTCTCACATGGAAGGATCCCAGGTGTACGTGGATCATAGAACCAGCGATCAGCCCTGGACTTGTAAATTCTACAGTCTTCTTGGAAGGACTACCCATACTTAACCTCAGAGAGAAGTAAACTACTGTCTTGTTTAAGCTCCTATTACTTTGTTAGTTCTGTCTTTTGCAGCTTAATCTAACCCTAACAAAGATGATGGGGAACTATGTGGGTATAGCCATGACAGCGAATACTTTTGTAGACATAATGGAGTCACTTTATATTTAGGTAGTGAGTGAATTTTACTTCTTGTTATTTGTTTTTTATTGACTGTATTGTAAAATCCTTTCAAATGTGCCAACAAATATTTAATCTTCAAACTTTCTTCAAAGAAACAAGTTGAGGACCACTAGTATGTTGCCTTTGGCCTGCCTCCTGTCAGACATTTAAAAGTTGTCTTAAGATCACCAGATTGAGGTGCCAGGGTGGCTCAGTTGGTTAAGCATCTGACTTCAGCTCAGGTCATGACCTCGCAGTTTTTGGATTTGAGCCCCACGTCAGACTCTGTGCTGACAGCTCAGAGCCTGGAGTCGGCTTCTGATTCTGTGTCCCCCTCTCTCTCTGTCCCTCCCCTGCTCATGCTCTATCTCTCTCTGTTTCTCAATAATAAATAAATATTTTTAAAAAAGAGAGAAAGCAGAAGATCATGGTTGTCGCTTGACTTTTGACTATAGAGGTTGTTCTTAATGTGTTCACTATGATAAAGTTAGAGAATCGGAGTCAAAAAGGTGAAGCATGTTCCAGCCTATGTATGGCTGTAAAGAACAGTGAATCTTCTTGAAAGTATTGTAAGACACTAATGTGCTACAGTCACAATTATGTTGTAACTCTTCCTCACTTGGTTACCCATCTTTCTGAAATTCCTAAGTTTACTCAAGCCTTCCTCCTTAGCTTCCATGGGTGTTAGAAATTTGAGTGGCCATGAAGCTAAACCACTGTTCAAGAAGAGCCAGGAGATTCCCTTCCCTATAAGCAAATATACACACTGTGGAGAATCATGCTGAGCTAGGTACAGGAGAGTCCATTACGTAAAGTCAGGGATGGGATAATTTAGGGCTGGAAGGTGGTGCTCCTTCTATCCCTCCTATTTGTTCATGGACTTCTAAGTATTTTGGAGTAGAGGGAATCTGTGGAGACACTCAATCGGCTGCAAAGGATTAAAGGTAGCTTACAGATGGGATTCTGCGGCACAAATCATGTAACAATATGGTAATCATAACACAATTGTGTAAACTTTGTATCATACAGAGAATATAAACTTTCTCTCTAGGAGCCATTTATAAAAGTTGTATCATATCGGTCAGCAGAGTGCATCCCAGAATCTGCACATAGAAGAAATCAAAACAGCTATACACTCTCATTATAATACAACAACAGTAGGAATTAATAACCACAGAAGAAATACAAAATTCAAGGTTTTGGATCATGGTCAAAGGCAAAAGTAAAACACTCATTGCAGATTACCTATAGGATAACAACAACACATCAAAGTGCTTTTACATCGATGAACTTAATCTTTAAAATGATGCTTTGAAGTGAATATTGTGCATAGCTCCCATTTTAAAAAAGAGGAAACAGAGAGCTCAACAAATTTGTTAAAATTCCAATGACAGATATTGAGGTTAGAGTTTGAATAATGTTAATTGACCTTAACAGACTGTAGTAATAAACCTTACATTATTCAGTTACTTCATTACAAATGCTGATGCACTATCACTCTTTGAAAATGTAGGACACTGATGCCAAAACCATCCTTAGAGAAATAGTTAGTACTTTTGTTATTTGCCAAGAAAATTTTCAAATAAATGAACACAACATTTTACATTAGACATTTTAAAGACTATAAATGCGAACATATGAAAGAAGCTGGTCTGAGGAATTACTGAAATAAATAGAATATAAATTAAGAAAAATAGAATATAAATGATGAAAAAATCTAAGAGCCATTTCTTTAAAGTGGTCGATTAAAACAAACAGAACTTGGCCGATTGTAACTTCACAAAATGACACATCTACAAATACACATGAATGAGAAAATAGTTATCATCACTATTATTGATGCGTTTATGGAGTTCATTCACAGGTGTTGAATATACTCAATACTTTATTAAAATATTATATCCCCTCCATTTTAATAAAACTGAAAACACCCGTGAGATGTGTCATTTAGAAGGAAAAATAAAGTTTATCAGGATGTACTTAAAAATAGGTAAAACAGCTGCTAAACCCATATCTGTTTGAGTGTCTGTGTCTAATCTTTTTTGGTCTGTATGCAGGATTGGAATTGCTGGATCCTATGGTAATTCTGTGTTAACTTTTGAATCACCTAACAGTGTTCCGTAGAGGCTGCACCATTTTACGTTCCCAGGAGCAATCACAAGGTTTCCTTTTATCCACATCCTCACCACAATTTTATTTTTCATTATAGCCATCCTGTAAGGTGTAAAGTGGGTTTGATATGCGTTTCTCTAGTGACTAATAATGTTTGGTATTTGACATGTGTTTCCTGGAAATTGGTCTATCCTCTTTGGAAAAATGTCTACTCAAGTCCTTTGCCCATTTTTAAATTGGGTTGTTAGTTTTTTTGTTGTTCAGTTGCAGGACTTCTTTATATATTTTGTATATCAAGCCCTTAGTAGACAAATGATTTGTAAATATTCTCTCCCGTTCTGTGGACTGTCCTTTCACTGTCTTGATGCGTCACTGGTGTTGACTGGGGCTCCCATCATTTGAGGACTGATGAATTAAGAAATCAGAACTCCTTGTTGCAGGCAAGGGGTGATCAGGGCAAAATCTATACTTTCCAGATACAGAATTGATGCTTGTGTCCAATTTAACCACCTCTATCTTCTAAGAGTAACTGAGCTCAACTGACTTCTGGGTTACATGCATATTTACAGATAAAAAAAGGATAGAAGACTTCATAGCAAAATATGATGAGTGATAGAATTATGGGTGGTGATTTTTTTGATCTTTGGGTTATTCATGGCTTCCACGTATGTCTAATGAATATATGTTCACTTTTATAACCCAATAAAATTCTATTTTTTCTTTGAATTTATTGTGGAAGCTGAAAATTAATACACATTCTTTAATTGCTCCCTCTAAGTGGAGGCAATGGTTTCTAGCATGGTCCTCTGTGCCAAGGAAAAATTCAGAACAAGAACTCATTAATGTGCCCACTCTGTGTGTGTTCATACTCACATTTTCCAGAGCTGCTATTACATTAAGATTTACCCTGCAACCCCTATTCCAAGGTCCTTCAATTAGGTGACAGTGCTCAGTGATCTTAGTTAAGAACGTTGCATGCATGGGAGCACCTGGATGGCTCAGTCAGTTAAGCATCTGATTTGGCTCAGGTCATGATCTCATGGTGCATGAGTTCATTCCCTGTGAAGGGCTCTGTGCTGACAGCTCAGAGCCTGGAGCCTGCTTTGATTCTGTACCTGTCTCTCTCTCTTTGCACCTTCTCTGTTCATACTCTGTCTCTTTGTATCTCTCAAAATAATTAAACATTTAAAAAAAAATTTTTTAAAGGAATGTTGCATGCATGGCTCAACTAGCATTTTTTCTTTTACTCGTTTAGTGGGCTGTTTTTTTTATGCAGTGAACGTCTTACCAGGCTTCACATGTACTACCCTCAGCAGGAAACTGGTGCCATCCTATAGTTAAAATACAAATACATATTGCTACTCCTTTTTTATTTTTAAAATGTATTTTATTTTTAAATTATTTTCCCTAAAAGTTCATTTATTTATTTTAAGAGACGTGGAGGAGGGGAAGAGAGAGAGAGAGAGAGAGAGAATCCCAAGTAGGCTCTGCACTGTTAACACAGAGCCTAATGCTACGCTTGAACTCATGGACTGTGAGATCACAACCTGAGCCAAATCAAAAGTCAGACACTTAACTGACTGCACCACCTAGGCATCTGGCTGTTGCTACTATTTTTTTTATATTCCTTTGGTCATACGGCTTTGTTCAAGCTACCATCTCTGTCCACAAGTTCCTATTGCTAACTTTTTGAAGTGCCAGTGATATCTAGTGTGCCTGGTTCGGAGCAGGTAGCATTGTTGTTCTGGAACTCATATTCCAGGGACAGTGCTCTCAACTCACCCTTCATTACAAGAATAATTAACTGTGGATCCAAACTGGGTATCTGTGTTTACATGCACCAGGCCATTGAAGGGTTCTGGAGGAGTTCCACATGATTTTCCTATGGGAAAGAAGGAGAATTTGGAACTAGGTGTAGAGTTCAATTTACCTTTGTTTATAAGACTCAGACTGGAGTGTAGCACACCCAACAGCCTGTACACTTCTGACTGTTCCACAGAATTGACCACGTTGAGGAAAGGCACCAACCTGAGAATCAAGCAGCTAAGGGGCTCTGCTTTTTAAAAGACGATGCTTGAATCTCCCAACAGAAGTCATATATGGATAAAGAATTGTTTTCTCATCCCATGAGCCTAAATCAAAGGCCTCAAAATTTGGGGTTTCCCCTCCATCCTGGTTAATGAGGCAAAGTTCACTGTGACCTACATGATTTTCTTTTGTGTCCCTACTTCACTCATTTCAAGGTTTTAGCCATCCAAAGTAACCTCCAGTGAATGGAGACTTCCCCTTGGATTCCTTTTCTGAAGAGACTTCCTGTGAAATAAATTGGAGTCCAGGTGCAAAAACTCCAGGCAATAGGAAAGGCTGACCTACAAGTGTACCCTCCATTTAAATACTGTGGACAAACTCAGATGTCTACAAAATTTGAACAAGTTAAATCAGATCCCACAGATGTTTTGACATACATGGATTAGCTCCTAGGATGGGGTTACTCACGTCTACATGTATCTTCGGCTCTTGTCCAGACCAAGCTTTCTAAGCAGATGATGGAAAACGTCTTCTCAAAATACCCAGGGGAACAACTGTAATTCAAAGATGTCCCGACTGGAAACTCAGATTCATCAGTCCGAGTTGTAGGAGTGGCAAATGGAAACTGTTCGGGGGCTTTACAGTAACCTGTAAAGGTTGTGGAGAGCAAAACCACAGGAGTAGGTGGGTGAGCAGAGAGATTTCCACCCTTCCTCCTCATTCTGTCCAAGTAAGCTGATAGATGGGTTCGTGGAGACAGAGATTTTGAAAAATGGCATAAAGTCTTCTTAGCCTTCAGGTTTCCCCAGGATGGTACCTTCCCAGCAGCATCTACTCATCAGGACATTTCTGCTACTTGGAAGACTATTCACCCTCCTGGCCTTTCTGCTCTTGTTTCACCAAAGCAAGAATTTTGTTTATTTTTAAAGTTTACTTATTTATTTTGAAAGCCAGGGAGAGCATGAGACTGAGAGGAGCAGAGAGGCAGGTAGAGAGAGAATCCCAAGCAGGCTCCATACTGCCAGCGCACTAGGTAGGGCTCAGACCCACAAACCGTGAGATCATGACCTGAGCCGAAACCAAGAGTCGGATCCTTAACTGACTGAGCCGCCAGGGTGCCCAGTGAAAGAGTTTTAACTAATGATGTCATGTGTCAGGCCTATCAGACTGCTTGTGTGTAGAGCTAACCACTCATATCCTCGTTTATTAGTGTTAACATATATACTCCTATACATCAAGATGTATTTTACCCTCTCTCTCCATTTATTCCTCCCTACCTCCTTCTCAGGGGGCCCCCCCATAAGCAGCCTCCCTGACATTAAAGAGCAGCCACTACTTGTCTTGGGTCGAATGATGTCCCCCCAAAAGATATGTGCATCCAGGACCTCCCAATGGAAACAAGGATCTTTCCAGCTGTAATTAAGGTAATGATCTCAAGATGAGATTGTCCTGGATTACCAGGGTGGGCCCTACATCCAGTGACTGGCTGTACCTATAAGGGAAACGAGAGGGACATTTGAGACACGCAGACACAGGGGAGAAGGCCAGGTGAAGACAGAGGCAGGGATCAGAATGATGTGCCCACTAGCCCAGGAAGGCCAGGAGCCACGAGTATGTGAGAGGGGTAAGGAAGGGCCCTCCTCTAGAGTCACAGGAGGGGATGTGGCCCCACCAAAGGCCTGCTTTCAGAATTCTAGCCTCCCTGTCAGTGAAGAGAAGACGTTTCTGTTGTGTCAAGCCATCCAGTCTGTGGTAGATTGTATGGCAGCCCTAGGGAACTAATAGGCCACTCTTCTCCTTCTGATGCTAAAGGAGAGATTTAAGAAAAAGGACAAAGCAGGCCAAGTCATCAAGTAGCTTTTTTAGCTTATGAAAACCCCTTTGGAAATTTCCCCTTCCCCATGCCTTTGCCTTCCCTCATGTCCCCCAACCTTGTATAAAACCAGTCTCTCAAGGTCCTGGAGCAGCTGTTTCTGTCCATGAGTCTTGTCCCTCTCCTTTAATAAAAACATCTCCTTGCGCAGATTAAAAAAAAAAAAGCTATGTCTTTTTTATAAGAGGTTATTTTGTGCGCTGCTAATTCTGAATAGGGTCTGCACTCAACTATCTCCTTTTGGGAAGAGACTGCATTTCTCTGCCCATTCAATAAGTGTGACTGGTGGCCTAGGCAACTGCTTTTAAAGAAATGTCACTGGATTCTAACATAACCATCCAGTTGGAAGTGGAGGGGCATCAAAGAAAGGTTAGATGTGTTTTATCATGTGTTGCCTTCTTTCAGTGGATTGCTTTTCTCTGTCATGCGGTATACCAATCTGGTGCCACATCCCTGTGTACTCTGCTTCTGTCTTGGGAAGGCCCACAGTCAGTCCTGAAGAACCAGGGAACTGCAGCCCTTTGGGAGAAGAAACAGCCTCTTCCTTTCCATACTCTTTTCCTTGAGCTGATCTTTCCTTGCTTCTAACTCCCAGAATAGAAAAGTTCAAGGGCAAAGTTGGGGCCCAGAAGCCAGCTGACAGATGGGCATACTTTGAGTCAAGGTCTGAAGCTGAAAAGTAGAGTCTTTTTCGTCATGTAGGCTATTTGGCATAGGACTAGCTAAAGTCTTAGTGAAATAATATCCGTATCGCTAGTTTCACCTACCATGAACTTGCGGGGAATGGATGGCAATTATCCTGCCCTTGGTCACTGTTCAGAGCCAGTTGTTCTCATGTCCTCTCCAATGAATCTGTTTTTCTCATTGATTTACACATGGTGCTTACTGCCTTCCCCTCATCCACGCCTCTCCCTTCTTACCCCACTCTGCTCACCCCTGCACCAGCAAGAAGAGTTACTGGCATCTTACTATTCAAGCAGCTTGGCACTGCTGGAGCCATCTGTTTTTGCTCTGGCATACAACTTTGACACTTCCGCTATGACAAAGTTATCACAAGCATACACCATAAGCTTAGAGACACATGAAGGATCTGGGCCAGATATTCTGATTCCGCTTGGGGTGCATGGGTACTGACCAGAAGGTTCACAGTGAGGTGCAGGGCCGCTCCACATCCCATTCCCTTCACTGTCACTTGTGCAGCGGATGGTGCTCTTCCCAACGAGGTTGAAGGTCATCCCTCTGGCTGGGTGGTGGTCACACATGTAAGTAATTTCCATTCCATAGGGAACGCCTCCCTGGGAAGTTCCATTGTGTTTCCCATTAAGGATAGGTGGAGGGCTTGGACAAAAGATTCCTAGAAGGAACAGAAGAGCTGTTTGTTACGTTAAATGTTTATATTTTAATCTGAGTTGATTCCACAATTATGGGATGCTGTGACTGTGTTGCCAATTAAATGATTAAACTCTTAAAGAGAATATAAACAATAAAATAAATATTTTAGGCCCCTGTTGAGATGCTTCTAAATGTAATGACACTGAAATGAATGTTTATTATTACAAAGTCCAGAAAGAACTTAATCATCCTGAACTTGAAGAGTTAAGACTTCTGGAATACTGAGAGCTCATTCTTTTAAATTAGACAAAAGTCTTAACCACATTGACAAAAAGTCTTTCATTAAATAAGGAAGTTATCCATTAATTCAACAGGAATTTTTTTGAGTACCTACTGCACATCAAGTACAACTTTAAGTAGAAGATAGAGCAAATCTTTTAACATCAAGGATCTTCATCCCAGTGGAATCTTTCAAAAAACACTATACATTTACTGTTTATCTATCACTGATTTAATCTTTTCTTGATGACTTGAGGCTGTTTTGCACAAAAGCAAAGTGAATGGTTACAGTGATGCCATCAAAATGAAATGAAACATCCCAATGTTCCTGTGCATGTTCCAGAAGATTCAGAATTGTTTATGATTTTAATATACTCATTGGTTTCTGCAGGTTTTTTTGTTTCTCATTAAAGAAATACACATTTCTTCTTTTGCGTATAACTATCTAGAGAACTCCTTTCCCCTTCTGCTTTGATCTATATTTGGGATGATGATACTGCAGCTTAAAAGGATTATGAATAAACTAATCAAAAGATGGACTAGCTTAACCAATGTTTGTACTCTACTAAGTGATTTTAGTTGTATCTGGGTTCCTGGGAGTATTTTTTTCTTTCTTTCATACTTCATAACTATATTCCAGGAAAGTGAAGATTTTCAAATAGCTGACTTCCAAATATGAAGGATATAATGATCAAGTTTCATTATATAAGTACAAAAGTCCAAACAATTTTAGAGCAAAACATTCATCTAAGAAAAAATGTATTATAAACATATTTTCAATAGTTATGATCAGAAGATGAAGCAACATCCTATGTGACTTAGTAAACGGGCAGATTGAATATATTCGTAGTGTTTCTGTATTTAACACATTATATTTTTGTCTTCTTAAAAACAAAAACTAGGGTGCCTGGGTGGCTGAGTTGATTGAATGTCTGACTTTGGCTCAGGTCATGATCTCACGATTTGTGACTTTGAGCCCTGTGTCAAGAGTCTCTGCTGTCAGCACAGAACTTGCCTCAGATCCTCTGTCCCCCTCTCTCTCTGCCCCTCTCCCACTTGCGCTTGCTCGCTCTCAAAAATAAACAGTAAAACAAACAAACACAAAACTAGCTCCCTTAATTCCACTTTCCTGTGCAGCAATAATCTCATTTCTCTACTCCTGTGACACAGGACTCCTCTGAGATGTGGTCTACGGTCTGCCCTTCCTTCCCTTCATTCTCCCTTGAACTCAATTCAATCAGACATTTGTCCCATAATTCCACTGAAAGTCCTTGTTGATGCCATTTGGTGCCTTCAAGTCATTATACCCAATAATAATTTTGTCATCTTATTTGACCTCCCTGGAGAATCTCACATCCTTCAAAGAATTTCTCTTGGCTTCTAAAATATATCATCATCCTGGTTTCTCTCTCTCCCTCTCTCTGAGTACAGTTGACCCATATAGTGACTGGACAACCCTATACATCTTCCTATATCTTACACTCTGTTCACCACAGAAGTTCCTATATTTCCCCACCCATCGCTATTGCAGTATCATTGACTGTATTCTTTATGCTGCACCTTTTATTCTCATGACTTATTCATTATGTAACTGGAAGCCTGTACCTTCTACTTTCCTGATTTTTCTCTTAATACACTGGCTGCTGCTTCTTAATCTCTTTTGCTGATTCATCCTTATTTTTCCAATTTATTAATGTTGGATTATTCCAACTTATTAATGTTATAATGGATACCAGGCTCAGCCCATGTATCTCTTTTCTGGCCCTATTCACTCCCTAGGTGATCTCATTTAATCTGTACTTTCAACTCTGTTTCTAAACCATCAATAAATTGTGTCCTTTTTACTTTCAGAATATGCCTAGAATGTGACCACTTTTTACCTTTTCTCCCACTGCTATCCAGCATCTGTGGTTAGATCCTTCAAACAGCCTTCCAGCTTATACCCTCAGCCACGCCCCTTGCCTACATCTCCCTTTTGGGCCCTCAGCTGCTCTCTCAATTGGGAATCCTGACTGACACCACTATTACCTCCTCTTCTAACAGCATTGGCTGTCTCAGCTACCCCAAGGGTGAGATAGGGCCTCTTGCACCTTACGTAGATGTCACAGCAACTCCCACATCCAAGCCAACATGACTGAGATCCATGGCCATTCTGGCTCCTTCTACCACTTCTGGTCTTACATGGAATGCCATGCAGCAGGTCATGGGCTCTGGTGTCTCCAGAGTTTGACCAGAGGGGTGAGATAATACAGCATAGAAACAAAGGCCTTAATATCCTTGGAATAAACAGGAGACAAGAGACAGGAAAGATGCAGCAAAGAAACTGCTCATTTTTCCTCTTTCTCACAGACAGCTCTGGTTTCACAGAACCTCTTCAGGGATGTGTTATATGGGCAAACAGCCAGTTGTTTTGTTTTTTGTTTTTGTTTGTTTGTTTGTAAAGCTTATGGCCACCTCAGAAACTCAATATTTTTTATTTATCAGCTTTTCTTTCCTCCCTGTCTCCTTTTTTTTTCTCTCCCACTCCTGTTGCTCTGGAATTGCACCCTCCAGTAGAGCATTACAATTTAAGCTTTGCCTCCAACACTGTTTTCCAGGGAATCTTGATCTAAGATACATTCCTTTCAACTCAGTCCTCTCTAAAGAAGCCAAAGTGATATATTTAAAAATAAATTCAATCACGTTACTTTTCTACTTATAATGTTCCAATGGCTTTCTATATTTCTCAGAATGAAAACCCACATTGTTACGGGGTGTATAGTTACTGCTCTTTTGTCACCTCTGACTAATCCTCTGTTTGCTCACTCAGTGTCAGTTATGTCGGCTTCTAAGAAAATGTCAAAAACTGGTGTGCCAAAGAAAATGCCGGGAACATGTCTTCCCTGGGCATTTGTACCATCTGCTCCATCTGCCTGTGAAGTTATTCCTCTGTCTATGTACATTGGTAATAACTACTTCCTGTCAATACTCAAATGTGACTTTCTCAGTAAGGATTCTCATCATCACTTTATTTTATTTACTTATTATTTTTAAATGTTTATTTATTTCTTTTGAGAGAGAGAGAGAGAACAAGTGGAGAAGCGGCAGAGAGAAAGGGAGAGAGAATCCCAAGCCAGCTCTATGCTGTCAGTGCAGAACCTGACATGCGCTCAATATCACAAACCATGAGATCATGACCTGAACCGAAACCAAGAGTCAGATGTTCAACTGACTGAGGGATCGAGGTGCCCCTCCATAATCACCCTACTTTAAATGGAAACTATTCTTTTCCTGGCATTCCTTATCCTCCTTCACATAACCATTTTATTATTATCACTCTGGATTTTTTTCTTAATAACATTTGGCATTATTTGAAATCGTCTATTTATGTGTTTGCTTGTTATGTTCTTTGTCTTTCCTTCTACACAAGAATATAAACAACATGAAAGCAGGGCCCTCATTTTTCTTGTTGACAGGTATATTCCTAGTGTCTAGAAGACTGGTTGTTGGCACATAGTAGGTGCTCAAAAATTTTTGTTGAAAAAACGGGGACAGAAATGAATAGATGATTGAGGGAAGAATAGAAAAGCTGAAGTGGGACTATCATTTTTGACAGGAAAAAAAGCTCAGGCCCCAAATTTCTCTCCATCTATGAAAGAATGTCTCTCCGTTTGTAGCACACAGTATGCTTGTAAACATTTATAGGATGGTACCCTGAAAACATGATGCTCAGATTTATTTCCCCCAGAAACAATCCTTGCAACAAAGAAATATTTCAATCAAAAGTGAAGATAAACAGGGGGGCAAATAATAGATAATTTTATAGGCAAATCACATTAAACAAACAAACAAACAAACAAGAAAACAAGGAGGAAGGTGCAGACCTGAACAGATATTCCTTGTACTCACGTTCACACACAGGAACAGGGTTATTCCAACGGCTTTCCATTCCAACCAAGATACAGTAACTGTCAGGACTTCCCTTCAAATGGAACCTGGGGAACAAAGGCGGTAGTGACTGGGTGAATGCACCATTTTTCTCCCCTTCGCTGACAGATCTCAGCTTCTGCCCTTTGGCTGAAATACAGTTTAATGCCTAAGTTAAACCCCAGGTGGAAACGTTCAGCTCATTTGTTTTCTCAGCTGATAGAAGCTCTGACACCAAGTTTCCAGTGAGGACAGAGCAATAACAACCATCTCTTGTCCTTGACCTTCAGGAGGTCATCTGCCCATGACTGCCCTCGGACAGCTAGCTCCCTATTTGTCTCTATAAGGAACTTTGTCCTCTAATGCAAACCGTAGCCTTTTCCCTTCTTGCTGGACTGGGAGGAAAACAATTCCCAATTCAAGTTAGTAAATCGGAGAACATGAGGAAAGGCATCAGGGACTGCCGTTTTCTGCCAACGCATTCAGAATGTTCCTGAATGACACCTGTGGCATATCTGGATTATTGATGAGTAAAGCCCAATTATCTAGGAAAGATAAGAAAAGGTGAGAAGAGAGGATTCTTTGGAGGACAATCATCCTAACACATCTGGCTTATTGTTGGGCCACTAGCTGCCTGAGTTGCCTCCAGATGTTTATTGGGTGACAGATATTTGATGCCTGCCGAGGAGTCCTTGGGATGTATTGAGAACTACAGTTTTGTCATCCATGATTTTTACCTGTCAGTGCTGTTGGAACCTAATACCAAGCTCACTTAGATTCACATAAAGAGTTAATGACATTGCTTGGAACATCATTCCTCATGCTCCTCCAACACAGCCTAATCCCAATCAGGTGACATACAATTAGATTTTAAAACTCTCCCATTTACTCTTTCATTCCTATTCCACATTCCGCTATTGACTGGTTTAAAATTTTCTTGAAACAATCTTTGCATGATACTTCTCTTATAAATAATTTTCTTTTCTATATCAAACCTTTAAAAAACAACCCCTCTGCAATATTTCTCCATTCGTGCCTACAAATTACTCTTTATTCCCATATGTAATGTTTCACTTAAATATTCAAGATCTGTTGTTATACTTCTGCTGTTCAGTGTATTTTACTGTTCTTCCTCTTTAAGCATCTGCTCATGGTTCTCTGTCGTTGCCACAATCCTTCCCAATCATTGTTTCAGGTTTTAGTCCTTTTTGGTACTTCTGTTCCATTAGACAAATTGCTTTTTGGATAAACCCCCATTGCCCAGGGCGTCAGCATGTTAGCATCCAGAACTGAGTCCCAGGTCTCTATGCCAGGTGATACTCACCCCTCATCACAAATGAAGGACACTTTTGCCCCAAGCTGGAAATTAAGTGGAAAGAGCACACGGCCATTAGGGAGCTGGTCCAGGAAGTCAGCACATGATTTCACTAGGAAAAAAACAACAACAACAAAGAAGTAGGAGTGTCTCTGTGAGGAACAAGAAGGTTGATCTGCAAACCAGAGGCAACCGTAGGCACCTGCACACGTAGGGGCTGCTGGGCTCCAGTCTCCCTCGGGTGTACAGCGCAGAGAAGCAGTCCCTCTGAGGTCATAGCCAGGCTCACAGCTGTAGAATACTTCCTGCCCAGGGGAAAAACTGTTCTTGTCGCTTGGGCTGGGCTTACCGTGCGGAATTTCTGGAGGCCGCTTGCATACTGTGGAAAGAACGGATGCAAAGTACCAGTCATTTATGGGGAAATATCTTTTGCTAAATTCTAACCCTTCTGAGGAGTCAGAGACTCACAATTAAAGGGGTTCAGTATTATATGAAGGGAAATCAAATGAAACTCTAGGCCCCTCTTTGTAATGATATGGAAGTTTAAAATATGGAAGAGATGTAAAGACCTCACAGCTAGTAAGAAGCAGATGAGAACCAAGTTCTTTCCAGCACAAGGTGAAATACATTTACAAGTCCCTTCTTCCTAGTGCTGGCTATTCAAGATGGAGCTGTTAGTACCAGTGGGTTCTCCACCCACATCTTTGCTAGAAAGGCATCCAATTTACAGGCTCATCATAAAGGCTCCTCCCACAGAGGAGAGGGCTGCCTGAGCCTAAATCTATTTAATGGATTTCCCGTCTCTTTTATTGTACTTCTATGATCAAAGTGTAGGAATCGTTTATCTTTACATGAATATAAATATATCCAGCTCTCTGGTTGTACAGGATGGTACCAGTTGGCACAAGAATGGGAAACTCCGGGGGCGCCTGGGTGGCTCAGTCGGTTAAGCAACCGACTTTGGCTCAGGTCATCATCTCACGGTTCGTGGGTTTGAGCCCCACGTCAGGCTCTGTGCTGACAACCAGCTCAGAGCCTGGAGACTGTTTCAAATTCTGTGTCTCCCTCTGTCTCTGACCCTTCCCTGCTCATGCTGTCTCTCTCTCTCTCTCTCTCTCAGAAATAAATAAAACTTAAAAAAAAAAAAAGAATGGTAAACTCTGTCTTTGTCCCTATGTATCAGCCACAACATTTACCAAGCCACTCCTAAAGCAGCTATTGTGGCATAGAAGCCCACTGAGATAAGGCATTGAGAACAAAATCCCCTCAATACACCCATCCTTGTAATGGAAGGGCATATCGCTTAGAGAGTATTTGACTCAAGGTCTGGCTACCTCCATTCACAGCCCTCTTGCTGCTCAAGGCAGCTGAACTCATTTGAAATTCAGCCTAATCTATATCTAATTAATGGTGAGGGGAAAATCTGCTTGGCTTTAAGCAGCTCTCACTTTTGACTTGAGATTCCTACTGATAAAATGTAGGAGGTAGACCGGAACAGACAAACTCTAACGTCTTGGCCACTCTTCTGAGGCTATGATATCTGTCTTCATAAGCCAGTTTCAAATTTTATGAGAGAGATGCAGATAGAAGTATAACAAGGACCAGAGAACGCAGCCGCTGGGTTCTGACAGATTTGCTTTCCATCCCTGGGTACGCTACTTAGTAGCAGGTGATTTGGACAGTTTCTTTCCTGAGCCTCTGAAATACCAAGCCAACTGCACTGTCCTATGGATATAAGAATAGCCCTATTGTGGGGCACCTGGGTGGCTCACTTGGTTAAGTGTCTGGCTTTGGCTCAGGTCATGATCTCACAGTTCATGGGTTTAAGCCCCCCATCGGGCTCTGTTCTGACAGCTAGCTCAGAGCCTGGAGCCTGTTTCAGATTCTATATCTCCCTCTCTCTCTCTGACCCTCCCCTGCTCACGCTGTCTCTCTCTCTCTCAGAAATAAATTTTAAAAAATTAAAAAAAATAGCTCTGTTGTAAAGGAGTGCTGTGAAGATTAAATGAGCTCATGCATTTAAAATACTGGCTGCAGGGGCGCCTGGGTGGCTCAGTTGGTTGAATGTCTGACTTCAGCTCAGGTCATGATCTCACAGTTAGTGGGTTCGAGCCCCACATCAGGCTTTGCACTGACCATGCAGAGCCTGCCTCAGATTCTCTGTCTCCCCCTCTTTCTGTCTCTCCCCCTGCTTTTTCTCTCAAAAATAAAGAAACAGTAGAAAAATTAGAGTGCTTATTACACAGCTGACTAGAAAGTCCACCTCAGTTTTCAGTATATTTGAGATAGCGGAGCTGGTATTTCATCCTGAGAATTGCTCAGTAAGAGGGCTCCAAATGTCTCCTTCCTTGATTGACTTAGCTCCTGCTTTCAAAATGAAGGCACATATACATAAGTGCACACACGCGTACATGCACACACACACACTTTCATCATTTCATGCATCACCCCACCCCCCAAATTGACCTACCCTGCTTCCCATGCATCCTCCCCTAGAGCAAACACTAATCTTCCAATCCTTTTACAACTCATGCCATTTGTAGTTCCCTTTAAAGCCTCAGTCAGACTCACGCTTAAAGCAGCTTGGCAACTCTGGCCCCCATCTGTTTTGAGGTTGGCATTTCACTCTGGGGAGTCCTTTCATGTCAAAGCCGGCCTTACATGTAAACATCACAATTTCATTTAAGGAATATAAACTTTTGTGCTCAGATACTATTATTGCATTTTCAACTTCTGGAGGTGTGCATTTATTAGGTATAATGCACTGAGGGGGAGGGCCGCTCCACGTGCCAACGCGATTGTCTTTGCTGGTGCAGTATATTGACCACTGGCCCACAAGCTCATACAGCTTTTTCCCTCTGTGTCCAGTATTGCAGCGATAGGTCACCACCGTTCCGTATGGGAAATATTCTCTGTTGGTGCTAATGAAATTTCCATTGGCAATCTTTGGGGGTGGCTCACAAGCAATTCCTGAAAAAAGAGATAGCAACGTGACAACAGTGAATTAAAATAACTAGTCAGAGATCCAATGAGTATAACTCTTTTTACATTTGCTATTTGTTTTTAATCTTTCTTAACATGTAGATATGTTTTTACAAAGTTGTGATTTAGGTGGGCATAATAAATAGCATACATACTGCCTTTCCTACTTACATTATTTCCTATAAACATATGCATTTTTAATACAGTTCACATTCCTTTCATTTTAATAGCTCTTTGATCATTTTGCTTTATCATATATTATACAGCTTTTCCCTACTCTTTTCCATTTTCCTTCTTAATTTTCATTTTTGTTATTAGCTCAGAACAGCTTTAAAAAATTTTTGAAAATTGAAATGATATAAATGGAAATACAAATTTCCAATATGCATTCACGAAGATATAGAAAGCCAGAATGGGCAATGAAACTTGTAAGAACAGAAAACATATTTTACATAAAAATGCTATGAAGTTACTTTCAGGTAATACATACTTCCAAATGTAATTTCAAATTTTTCACAAGATGTGAAAAATAGAAAGCTGATCAACTCATTTCATCAAGCCTAAGTTTGATATCACAACATGATACCCATGTAAAAGTGCTTATATATTAGTTCATAAAAAACTCTCAATACATGTGAAAATGTATAAGTGGGACATAATACATTGTATTACTATAATACTATATACTATATAACTAGAACAAAGTAACTTCAACCAAAACACCAAAACACTTGAAATTAAAAATAAAACTTCTTAAGAAGGATACTTCTTCTTATAAGGGTAACCTTAATAATTCAAATCAAACATCACTCTACTCCTCTATTCGCCCCCCCCCCAAAGAAAGACTATCAATGCTGGATAAAATATAAAATATGTCTGCGGATCTATCAGAAAGCTAATAAACTAGTGAAGCATTACTGGACCATGATCTGAAAGAAGATATAAAGCTAGGTGAGAGTTAGATATTTAGGCTGCGTTTCAGCTGGAAGGTTAGCTGATTCAGGAGGGGACATCTGAGTGGTGAGTAGACTTTTGATAGTCTCATGGAGTCAAGGAACTAAACTGGAATCCAGGTCCTGTATAGTGGAAGGCCTGGTAGTATCTTCTGCTGCCTACTGGGCCCTCAAAGAAATAGGCTCTGGGAATCAAGATTACTGGGGTTGTTCTTCAAGTACTGTGGGTGGCCTAGAAAAATAACAGTTTCTGAAATTGAATGGAAGTCGTCCCAGATTGCTTGTGTCCCCAGATTTCTAGAAGAAATAACAACAAAAATCCTTCCTGAAGAAGGTAGATAACTGTCTATGACCTTGAATTTATTTGTACAGAGAAAGCTTCTCAAATATAATTCCTGACACACAAAGACAACCTAGTACTTAATGAGATAAAATAACATGAATAAGAAGCAGCATAATCACTGACAATAGAAACTGAACCAGTAGGATCCCAGAGATTGGAATTTTCACTCACAGATTTAAAATAATTATGTTCATCTATTCAAAGGTAAAATATACACAACACAGACTTTTGGTAAGAACTAGAAACAGTTAAAAACAACCGGGAACATTTCAAAAGGAACCAAATAAAAGTTGTTATCATTGTAAAATAATGAAATTAAGAATCTGGTAGAATTAACAGCAGGTAGGACACAGTTGAATAAAGATCAATGGATTGGAAGCTAGGACTGAAGAAAATATCCAGAATAAAACACAGAGACACAAAAGGATAGAAAGACACAAAAAAGAGTAATAGACTTCAAGGATAGAGGCATAAGGAAGGCCCAACACATGTGTAAGTGAATTCCCATAATGAGAGGAGAGCAATAACACAGGGCGTGAATGTTTGAAGAAGCAATGGCTGAGAATTTTCCAAAACTGATAAAAGACATCACTAAACCTACAGATTCAAGAAGCCATACAAACTCAAGCAGTACAAATACAAAAAAAAGAAAAACTTTACCTAGACACATCATAGTAATATTGTAAAAAAAAAAAATCAAGAGCAATCAATGTTAAAAGGAGCCAGAAAACAGAGATGATAACTTTTAAAGAAACCATGCCTAGAAAAATGTTTAAAAAATCTATTGCCAGAAGGCCTACAATACAAAAATGCTAAAAGATAATTCTTTAGATCGAAGGAAAATAGTGTCATAAAGAACTGATAGCACTGCAGTTTAGAGAAAGTATGACAGAAATAGTTAATATGTGGAAAAGTATAAATATTCTTTTTATAAAAACAATAACATCTTGTGAGATATATGTAAAGGCACAAACATTGACACAATGAAGGAGAAATAGGATCTGATCATCTCATTAGATACATAGTGATAAATTAGAACACGATAAATCTTTTAGCAAGTTAGGTGTAAAAAGCAATTTTCTTAATCTGATGAAGAATATCTCCCTAAAACATTCTGTAAATATCATGCTTATAATGACTATTAAAAACCCAATATCATCTCTTCCATTCAACATTGTACTGGAGGTTCTAGCCAATGCAGTAAAGCAAGAGATATAAATAATAGCTGCAAGAAAGGAAAAGATTAAAAAATAGGACAATTATTTACCAATGACATGATTATTTATACAGCATATCCAAAAGAATATACAGATAAACTATTGCACTTCTAAGTAAATTTAGCAAGACTGTTGGTTCCAAGGTCAAATGATTGTTTGTTTAAGAAACAATTAGAAAATGTTACATTTTCCAATGTTACCTCTCTATGTTGACATTATTTTCTATAACGTAAATTGGCAAATATTATTGAGAAAAATTAAAGATTTCAAAAATGGAGAAATAGATCATGAATATATTCATGTTCATGAATTTAAAATTTAAAAATGTAAGTGGTCCACAACTGGATCTACGGAGTCAACAGAAACCCAATATCAATTCAAGTAAGATTCTTTTTGTGGAAACTGACAAGCTGATTCTAAATTGTATATGGAAATGCAAAGGGCCAAGAATCACCAAACAAATCTTGGAAGAAGTACATGGTGGGGGATATACCACCAGATATCAACTCTTATTATAATGCTATGGTAATGAAAACAGTGTGATAAATAAACTAGCAGAACAGAGTCTCTTTGAAATGAGACCCACATATAATGACACCTGACTTATAGATATTATACTGTTGTATTGTGACACAGAAAAATGTTTTTAAATGGTTTTTAAAATAAATAATATTAGATGAATTGTCTATCCATTGAGGAAAAACAAAAAAACACACACAAAGGAAACAAATACCTTGACCATACTTGACACCACACAAAAAATAAATCTGAGGTGAATCATAGACTTAAGTTGAAAGATAAAATGATAGGCAAAGATTTCTTACATAGAACAGAGAAAGTAGTAGGGTGCCTGGGTGGCCCACCCTGTTGGTTGAGCAACCAATTCTTGATTTTGGCTCAGGTTATTTTCTCAGGATTGTGAGATAAAGCCTCATGTCAGGCTCCACGCTGAGCATGGAGCCTGCTTAAGATTCTCTCTCTCCCTTTCCCTCTGCTCCTCCCCCACTCACAGTCAAAAATAAAAATAAAACCATTAAAAAAAAAAGAACAGAGAAAGTAGTGACTAGAAAGGAAAAGACTTATTGAGTCTTATTTAAAAACACTATTAAAATGTATATCTTCTATCATCAAAGGACATCATTAAGAAACAAAAGGACAAGTTTTAGCCTGAAAGAAAATGTCTGTGTTATGTTTATCAGAAAATCTGAATGTATAAAGAATTTCTACAAACCAATAAAAAAGATACACAAACTACAAACATTGGACGAAAATTTTGAACAGGCGCTACACAAAGATATGAAAAGGTGCTTTGCATCATCAGTCATTACGGAAATGCAAATTAAAGTCACAGTGAGCCCCCAGAATAGCTGAAATTTAAACAACTGATAAATACCAAGTTGACAAAGATATAGAGCAGCTGGACTTTTCATCTGATATTGGTAGCAGTGTAAATTTGTCTAACCACAGTATTAAATCTTTTAGCAGTATCTATTAAGACTGAATGTATTCATACTCAACAATTTCACTTATATAAATGTAAATACTGTATAGATGTGCATATATATATATAAAGATTTGAAAATTTATACTTGCATATATATGGATATTTATTGCATATGCTCATGCATAAAATACGACTGATATATAAACAGGTGGGTTTACAAATTAATTGTTAAGTTCTTAAAATGAAATACAATACAACAATAAAAAAGATCCAATTAATCCTATATGCAATGACATGGATAAGTCTCCTAAATATAACACTCAACAGAAATTGGACACAACAGAGTACATGTTTTTTGATTCCTTTAATATAAAATTCAAGAAAGGGAAAAACTAATCCTTGGTGATAGAAGCCAGCATAATGGTTATTTTGGGAAGATAATCACTGAGAAAGAGCATGGGGAGGCTTCTGATGTGCTATATCTCATTTGAATGCTATTAAGGTGGTGTGCTCACTTTGTAAAGATTCACTGAAGTGAATGATTACTAGTGAGCATTCTACTACATATATATGAAGTAATCTATAAATATATGTATTTGAATAATAAGTCTAGATGGTGTGAATAAATTGTTTTATCACCCCATTCCCAATGTTTTTTTTAAAGAGACCAGACTGTAATATTTTTCCTGTGATGTCCTTATGAGATTTTGGCACCAAACTTACAATAGACTCTTAAAGCAAGCTCGATAATGTTCCATAGATTTATGTTGTTGGAAGTTCTTTTTTCTTTCTTTCTTTCTTTTTTTAATCTCCAAGTTTTTATTTAAATTCCAGTCAGTTAGCATATAGTGTAATATTAGCTTTGGGAATAGAATTGATTCATCACTTATATACAACACCTAGTGCCCATTACAACAAATGCCTTCCTTAATACCCATCACCTACTTACCCCGTCCCTCTGCCCAGAATGATTGTTATACTGTGGATGGTACAATCAACATAATTCCAAATAATTTGAAGTAAAAATAAAGTTTGAAGGCTTTTCTGCATTTAAGTCCCCAGATTCAGAAAAGGTACATCCCGAGATAAGGAAATATTTAAGAAAACAGTTGCCAGAAACCCCATAGGGATTGAGGGGGCAGAATCAACAAAAGGAATTCAATTAAGATTTTCACAACTCCAGGGGGAAACTTAGAATCCATTGGTAAAGGTAATAGGAAAGAATATTTCAACTCACTTTCACAAAGAGGTGGGTCGTTTTCCCAGATGACAATATTGTCTGAGATTATGCATAAATTAGATGGCTCACCAATGAGTCGGTATCTATAGGTAAGGAAGAATGAATGTTATATTCCTTGTTCATTTTCCTACTTAAATTGCTACTTACGAAAGATTGCACTCTTGGAGAATTCAGAAGGACAATTTCCATTTGTCACAGTACTATCACTTTCCCAAATTGCATGTCTTTGTTTGGACTTCAAATTTTTTTCTTCATGCTTTCTCGACTCAATGGGCTCTCTCTTCTTTACTTTATGCCAAGTTTTTGTAGAAACCTACCGTATTTAAGACTCATCAACTTCGAACCAAAGGAAATCCAAACAGAACAACAAAAGTCCAACAATGATTTCATATTTAAAATGGTAAAGGCAGAAACTCTCACTTAGTACACCACAAAGTATTCAAAGTTTGCCATAAAATGTGGCATATTCCCCCCCATTGATAATGTCTTGCAAAACAGTGTAGTGGAATATTAAAACCAGGATATTGACATAGGTATGACCTGCCAACTTTGTTCAAATTTCCTCAGTTGTGTTTGTGCTAATTTGTGTGTCTTGGTGCATGTGTATTTTCATCTATGCAGCTTTTTTTAATATAGACTATTTTTAAGAGCAGTTTCAGGGGGCGCCTGGGTGGCTCAGTCGGTTGAGCGTCTGACTTTGGCTCAGGTCATGATCTCACAGTTCATTGGCTCGAGCCCTGCTTCTGGCTCTGTGCTGACAGCTCAGAGTCTGAAGCCTGCTTCAGATTCTGTATCTCCCTCTCTCTCTGACCCTCCCCTGCTCATGCTGTCTCTCTCTCTCAGATATAAATAAAACGTTTTTAAAAAGAGCAGTTTCATGTTCACAGAAATATCAAGCAGAAGGTACAGGCATTTATCATATACTCCCTTTGCACATACATGCAGAACCTCCCATGTGCTGCACATTGTATGGGTTTGGACAAATGTATAATAACACATATCTACCATTGCAGTCTCACACAGAGTAGTTTCACTGTCCTAAAATCTTCCGAGCTCTGCCTATTTGCCTCTCCCTTTCCGCAATCTCTGGCAACTACCGATCTTTCTACTCCATATTTTCTTTTTTAGAATGCCACTTACCTGGCATCATACAACTTTTGTCAGATTTGATTCTTGCACTTGGTAAAATGCATTTAAGTTTCCTCCCGGTGTTTTCATGGCTTGATCGTTCATTTCTGCTTTCCGGAGTGGGTTTACTGTTTGACATTCCTATCAGCAATGATGAGTGATCCAGTTCCTCTACATCCATGTTAGTAACATTTGGGGTTTTCACTAGCTTGCATTTTTGTCATTCAAATATGTGTGTAGTATTGTGTCATTGTTTTTTTTTTCATGTTTATTTATTTATTTTGATGGGAGAGGGGCAGAGAGAGAGGGAGAGAAAATCCCAAGAAGGCTCCACTCTCAGCACGGACCCTGACTCAGGGCTCCATCCTACAATCACAACTTGAGCTGATCTAAAGAGTTGAACCCTCGGGGCACCTGGGTGGCTCAGTCGGTTGAGCATCTGACTTTGGCTTCCGGTCATGATCTTGCGGTTCATGAGTTCAAACCTCGCATAGGGCTCACTGCCATCAGCTAGCCAGCACAGAGTCTGCTTCGGATCCTCTGTCCCCCTCTCTCTGCCCCTTCCCTATTTGTGCTCTCTCAAAAATAAAAATAATAAAAAAAAAAAGAGTCTGATGCTCAACCGACTGAGCCACGCAGGCACCCCAGGAACCCCACTGTGTTGTTTTAGTTTGCATTTTCCTAATGGCTAATGAAGCTGAGAATCTGTTCATGTACTTACATCCCATCTTTATATTCTCCTCAATGACATGTCCATTCATATCCATTCTAGGTTCTATGCCTCCAAATTTATGTCCTGAAACCTCAGAATCTGACTTTATTTGGAAATAAGGTCTTGCCAGATATAACAGAGTTAAGATGAAGTCACTCTGGATTAGCAGGGGCCCTAATCCAATGGCTGGTGTCCTCAAAGGAAGAAGGATATTTAGACAAAGAGACACACAGAGGGAAGACAATGTTAACACATATAGAGGCAAAGCCATGTGAGAACAAGGCAGAGATGGAGAGATGTGATACCAAGGACTGCTGATAACCCCCAGAAGCTAGGAGAAAAGCATGGAATAAATTCTTCCTTAGAGCCTCCAGGAGCAAGCAACCAGCTTATATCTTGACTTCAGACTCGTTCAATTCTATTCCTAAGTTGCTGTTTTTATCATGATTTGTTATTGGACTTTGTCAACTGCATTTTCTGAGACAACTGATATGAGCATATACATTTTCTACTTTGAGCATATAAATTAAAATGAGCCTGGGTAGCTAAGTCGGTTAAGTGTCTGACTCAGTTTCATCTCAGGTCGTGATCTCACAGTGCACCAGGAAGAGCCCCACATCGGGTTCTGTACTAACAGTGTGGAGATGGCTTGGGATTCTCTCTCCTCTTCTCTCTCTGCCCCTCCCCCACTCTTTCTCTCTCTTAAAATAAATAAATAAAACATGTTTTTAAAAATTAAAAATGTTTTTCTTCTTTATCCTGTTTATATGGTTGATTATGTTGATTGAGTTTTGAATGTTGAATCTGTCTTGCATACTTGGAGTAGTTTCCACTGTGGTAAAAAAAAATGCAATTTTTTAAATGCATTACTGGGTTTGATTTGCTAACATTTTATAGATGGTAAAAAATCTTCAGTAAAGTATTAACAAATCAAATCCAACAGTAACATAAAAAGAATCATATACCATAACCAATGGGGATTTATTCCAGGTATGCAGTGAATTTTTTTTTAGTTTCATTCATTCATTTATTCAACAATAATTATTGAGTGCCTTCTCTATACCAAGCAGTGCAATGAATATTTTTAAAGAGAGAGAGTTCACAGTTTATAAGTTACTTTCTTTTGTATTTGAAATAGGTGTGCCCCTTCCTTCTGGTCTCCATATTTTCAGATAATAAATCCACTGCCATTCAAATTGTGTTCCCCTGTAAGTTGTATGTCCTTTCTCTTTGGTTGGCTTTAAGATTTTTTTTAAGGGAATTTGTAGTTACTTATTGAAGCAATTTGAATAAGGCTGATTTAAATTCTTTGTTAGATAGCGACAACATTTAATTCATCTTGGTATTGGAATCATTTGTGGTATGGTATTGATTATCTTTTCTCAATCAAGTTGTGTTCTTCCCAGTTCTTAATGTGACATGTGATTTTCTCTTGTATCCTGAACACTGGGGATATTGTGTTAAGAGACTCTCACTCTTATTTAAATCGATTTTAGCATGTAATCACCCTCTTGAGGGTAGTGTGTAGATTTTGGCCTATTTGGGGGGTGGGGTTTAGTTCCAACGACAATTTAATTTTCCAGTCTTGCAGGGCTATTCTGTTCTCTGCTTCATTCTCCTGGCTCCAATGCAGTTCCTGACACATCCTTGCTACTGCTGCCTGGGACAGCAGAGGTGCTTCTCTGAACTTCCTGCTATCACTAGGTGAGGCATGGGAGATGTTCAACCCTTGCATGGAGAGGAACCCTCCTCCGGCCTGTTCTCTGGTTATCTGGGGAGGGTGGAGCTCCCCTTTCGTTTGTGTTGTGGCTACCAGGGGAGGGAAGCACCTGTGTAGGCTGCATTTTGCTGTTGGGTGGAGAATTAGGAGTCATGGATCTGGGAAGCTCTCTCCTACTGCATGACTGCATGGAGGAGCAAGAAACTTTGAACCTGGTTTCCCTTCTCTTCTGGGTTGAAGTCTAGATCTCACCAACTGGCTCTGTTGATACTGTCACTAGAGGCGGAATAGAGCTCACTGCTGCTGGCTGGTGTGGGGCATGAGATAAAATTATCATTGGGACTGGAGCCCAGGTTCTCCCATTGATACAGCTGCTGCTGATCTGGGGACCTGCTGCTTCTTGGTGCTGTGCCTCAAGGAAGAAGGAGAAGGATAGATGCCTCCTGACCCCATCCCTGATTTCTGATTTCTGCTTATGCTGCTAATGTGGGCAGAAGGGCCACTATCACTACTAATGTGTCTCCCCACTACATCCCCACTAAGCTTCCCTTTTCCCAGCCCTTTGCCCAGAGAACAGGCTTCTCTCTCCCTCTCTCCCTGCCTGCTGAATATTCAGGACTGTGTTCCTTCTAAGTACCCAGTCTAAGAGATAAAAGGAAAATCCAGGGACCTCACTATGGTGTCATTCTTTAAGTTCTGTGGTCCTCCAGCCCATCTTCTTTCCACCTTTTGTAGTCCTTTTATGGCTGCATGTTGAACAGTTTCCAGGGTATTTAGTTACACGTAGAGAGACATGCAGAGAAAAGTGAATCTGCCCATCTTGTCCTGGAACTGGAGCTTCTTACAATCAACATAATAAGCATAATGCTCTTGGAAGATATGGTAGTATTAAGTGTATATGCACCTAATTACATAGCCTCAAATATATAAAACAAAACCCAGAAATACAAGAGGAAATTGGGGGGAAATTGATAGATCAAGCTTGCTCTAGAAAAGAAACACACTTTGCTCATTTTATGAGGATAAATTGGTTGTAAGGCCAGACACAGACAGCGTGAGAATGGTAAATTATTAGGCCTATCATACTTATGTGAATAAAAGAAAAAAATCTGAAATAAAATATTATAAAACAGATCTAGCAATATATAGAAAATATTTATTGTACTTCCAGACCAAGTTGGGTTCCTCAAACATTTCAGGTTTCATCCGTTAGCATAATTCATGACATTCATTCCTCCTACATCACTCTTTTGTACTTGGTTATTCAGTTGCCCCAGGACCAGTTGTTGGAAAGGTTCTTCTTTTACCATTGAACAGTCTTGGTGCCTTTGTTGAAAAATAGTTGATCATAAATGTATGGTTTTACTGCTGGATTCCAATTCTGTTTTATTGATCTATCCATCTGTCTTTATGCCAGTATCACACATTCTTGATTGCTGTAGGTTTATATTAAGTTTTGAAACTGAGTAGTTCTGTTTTTTTAAGATTGTTTTGATCGGATGGGTGCCTTGCACTTCCGTAAGAATTTTAGGATCAGCTGGTCAATTTCTGCAAAAGGATGCTCGATATATAGGGATTGTATTAAATCTGTAGATCAATTTGGTGAGATCAATATTTTATAATTCTATAATATTCAATATTATTGCAATATTAACAATATTAAGTCATCCAGTCTATGAATATAAGATATCTTTCCATTTATGCAGATCCTCTTTAACTTTGTTTTCAAAAATATTTCATAATCTTCAGTGTATAATTTTATACTTCTTTTTTTTTAATGTTTTATTTATTTTTAGGAGAGAGAGAGAGACAGCGTGAGCAGGGGAGGGTCAGAGAGAGAGGGAGTCACAGACTGAAACAGGCTCCAGGCTCTGAGCTGGCAGTCAGCACAGAGCTCGACGCGGGGCTCGAATCCACGAACCGCGAGATCATGACCTGAGCGAAAGTCGGACGCTTAACCGACTAAGCCACCCAGGCGCCCCTAATTTTATACTTCTTTGGTTCAGCTTATTTCTAAGTTATTTTTTTGATGTGATTGTAAGTGGCATTGGTTTCTTAATTTCATTCACAGATTGTTTATTGCTCGTGTATAGAAATGCAATTTAATTTTGTGCACTAGTCTGATATCCTGAATATTGCTGAATTATTTATTAGCTGTAATATGATTTTTGGTGTGTGTGTGTGTGTGTGTGTGTGTACACTCTTTAGGATTTTCTATACAACACACATCATTTTCAAAAACATTGTTTTTTTAAAATGCTTTAAAGTTTATTTTTGAGAGAGAGAGTGAGAGACAGAGCATGAGTAAGGGAGGGTTGGAGAGTGAGGGAGACACAGAATCTGAAGCAGGTTCCAGGCTCTGAGCTGTCAGCACAGAGCCCGATGCAAGGCTTGAACCGTGAGATCATGAACTGGGCCAAAGTCGGATTAACCAACTGAGCCACCCAGGTGCCTCCCAACAGAAATTGTTTTAATTCTTCCTTCCAATTTGGATGCTTTCTGCTTCTTTTTCTTGATTAATTGTCCTGGCTTGAACCTCCAGTACAATATTGATTAGAAGTGGTGAGAAGTTTTCAGTAACTTTTAATTTATATAAACGTGTGTGTGTGTGTGTGTGTGAGAGAGAGAGAGAGACAGAGACAGAGACAGACAGAGAGAGACAGAGAGAGAGACAGAGAGAGAGAGAGAACTATATTTCTTAGCTGTGGATCACAGTAAGAGAAGTTTGAAAGCCACTGTCCTAGGGAAACTTTTGTACATGTGCACTAGGAGACATGTATATTCATAGCAGGAATAGCCAAAACAGAAAAAGCAAAACAAAATGGCAACAATACAAATATAACAAGCAAGCAAAAAGTAAATTGTGGCATACTCACACAAGGAAATACTCTCCTAAGTGAAAATGAATTAACCACAACCACATAGGAAATTGTCAGAAACAAACTGTTAAGCAGAAAGGCCAGTTGCAGAGAAGTACATAGCATATCATGCCAACGACATAAAGCTTACACTATGGAAAGCTGAATATAAACTGAGTTGTAGTATGTACGGGGGACAATGGGAAACAAATGCAAAGCAATGAACAACACAGGATTCCTGATGGTCATTACTTCCAGATCAATTTTGGAAGTGGAATGGGAATTGGGAAAGGCACATAGGAGGCTTCCAAGCTACTAACAATGCTTCTTAAGGTGGGTAATATATACATTGAAGTTCATGTTATTGTTATTGCTTATGCTATAGTAAATGTATTTTAAGTAAGCAAAAAATAATAAAAACAAAGCAAAGTTTAAGATCTAAGGTAAAGCAGTCTCTCTACTTCTTTCCTGAAGTGGTTGTCTCCCTTAAGGATAAGCCAAGAATATGCCCACAGCAAGATTTCTGTGGTGTGTGCATTCCGAAGAGGTGCTATAACAATTGAAATTTGCCTGTCCACATCAGCTCCCTCATCCCAAACAAATCATTCTTTCCGACTTCTGAGTCCAGCATCTCTAGTTCTGGTGGCATTGGGGCAAGAATATATGCATGCATCAACTAATGTTTGTTCCATTTACTTCTTGAGAGAGCTGGTCCTTCCCATTGAATGAATGCTTCACTTGGTTTTAGGTACATTAATTTGTTGTCCAGTAGGGCATCTTTCCTCTCCACCCGCAAGTTTCTAGCACAGATATATATTTTTTCCCATTTTCCCAATATTTGTTTAGTCATTTCAGGCAGAGTTGAATGCCGCGATTCAAGCCACCACTTCTACTTAGAAATCTTATTGCTATTTTTTTAACTTCTTTTTTTAAGTTTATTTATTTTGAGAGAGAGAGCAGGGGAAAGGCAGAGAGAGAGGGAGGGAGAGAGAATCACAAGCAGGCTTTTCAACGTCAGTGCAAAGCCCGAGGCCGGGCTTGAACTCACAACATCAAGAGCATGACCTGAGCCAAAACCAAGAATCAGAAGCTTAACCAAATGAGCCACCCAGGCACCCCTCTTATTGTTATGTTTTTAATGGACAGGTAAACTTTCTAAGAGTATTGTTTAGAGACTGGTACTACAATTCTGGAACTGTCATCCCAAACAATGCTGCTGCCAACTCACCCTTCATTACAAGCATAGTTCACAGTTGATCCAACCTTGGTGTCTCCATTAGCAATCGTTTTGCCATTTGTGGGTTCTGGAGGACTGCCACATGACCTACCTATGGGAGAGAAGGAGAATTTGTGAACCGGATATGGAACACTCCAAACTTCTCTTAGTAAGTACATAAGGTCCCAACCTGGCTGTCTCAACCTTTACTGAAAAGCATTTGTAGCTCCATAGCTTTTGCCACCCCGAAGAAACTTACAAAACTGCCTCAGCACCAGTCACCTACTAAGCACCACTTTCAAAAAGAGCCCCCCTCCAGATCTATCTCATCCTCATATTGTGCCTTCCAGAAAAAGGTAAACTTCCCTTATACCCAAAGTGTTTGCTTTGTAATTCAACCAGTATAAATTAAAGTCTCAAAGTATGGGATTTTCTCCCCACCTACACTTTTCTTTCCTTTCCTCGAGGTAATTCGTTATTTAGTTTCAGTGGTGACAACGGGGAACCTCTAATGAATGGAGAATTTTCCTCAGTCATGCCTTGTGACAGTCACTTCTCATGAATTGAACTTGTAATGAAGGTGTCAGGAAGTCAAAGCAGTAGAAAGATATGACATCAAGAATAACTCTCACATCTGCTATCCTCCAGGCAAACTTATCAAGTCCTATGTGTCTTAGCTCCAAACAATTGAATCTGAACAATGGAAACAGCTCTTATGGATGTTTAACTGGCACGGTGGAATTCTCAGCCTAGAGGTACTTACGTTCACATTTGTTTTCAGCACTTGACCAGGTCAAGTTCTTTTGGCAGGTGATACGGAACTCTTTCCTGTAGTAACCAGGGCGGCACACATAGTTCAAAGATGCTCCAATGGGAAACTCAGACTTGTCAATTGGTTTTGCCGGCCTGGCAAAAGGAATCCATGCTGGGGCTGTGCATTGACCTGGAGACCAAGACCACAGGGACATCAAAGTTATTGGAGAAACTTCTACTCTGCTCTTTTTCTCCGGTATGCTTCATAGATGTGATCACAGAAAAAGAACACCTTAATAATGAGAAAATGATTGCTTCTCTTAATAGAGATCTTAGATATAAGCTTTTTAAGTCAGTATCTACCCACTTAAAAAAGTCTTCACTATTTTGAAGGCAATTAAGATATATATACGTACGTATATATACATATATGTATATATATGTAATTTCGAGGAAATTTCATCACATGCTTTGTAGACAAGCCTCAACAACTAAAGCTGTACTTTACTTTATGAAAACATATATGTAAAAATGCAGATTTTGAATTAAATAGTAGACTCAGCTATCTCCCTTTCAGGCCTAATAGGTTTAAGTTAAGGTAATAAAATTTTTAGAGTCAAACAGTATGTAATCAAGAAGAAATATCTGTTGGAAAAATATCATTTTACTGTAGATTTGGAAATCTCTTACGGTGTTTTTTAAATTTTTTTATTTTTTAAATGTTTATTTATTTTTGAGAGAGGGAGAGCTCACATGGGGCAGGGGCACAGAGAAGGCGACAAAAGATCCAAAACAGGATCTGCACTGAGAGCAGTGAGCCTGATGTGGGACTCCAACTCGAAAACTGGGAGATCATGACCTCAGCTGAGGTCGGATTCTCAACCAACTGAGCCACCCAGGCGCCTCTTTTCTGTTTTTGAAAAATCGTCTATTCCTCTTCATACTCCCTACAATCATTTGGTCAATTTAATCAAAGAATCAACTCTTGGCTTTGTTGATTTGTTCTTATCTTTATCTTTACTACAGTTTTCTTGAGTTTATTTGCTGTTCTTTTTTAAAATATAAACTTTCTGAGATGATTAGATTTTTAAAAAATTTTCAGCTTTCAACTGTTGTTTTTTTTTTACATATAGTTTATTGTCAAATTAGTTTCCACTGCTTTCAACTGTTTCTGAAATAGGCAGACTATTATTTTTATCCTAAGCAAATATTTAGCTGCACTCTACAAATTTTGATGTCTCGTATTTCATTTTTTTTCAGTTTGAAGTATTTGATGATGGCCCTTATGATTTGTTCATTGATCCATGGTTTATTTAGGAATAGTTTGAGTAATTTACAAACATCTGAAGAATTTTTTTAGCTGCATAATTATTATTGTATTTATTAGCTGAATGTTTATTATTATGAAATTGATCAAGGCTTGTTTTATTGCTCAGCATATGGTCAACTGAGGCAACTGTATCACATTTCTTGTAAAAAAAAATATGTGTTTGCAGGGACACCTGGTGGCTCAGTCAGTTAAGCGTCAGACTCTTGTTTTCACCTCAGGTCGTGATCTTTAGGCTTCATATGTTTGAGCCCTGCACAGGCTCTGTGTTGGCAGTGTAGAGCCTTCTTGGGATTCTCTGTCTCTGTCTCTGTCTGTCTCTGTCTCTCTCTTTCTCTTTCTCTCTGCTCCTCTCCCCTACTTGTCTGTCTCTGTCTCTCTAAAAACAATTAAATAAACTTAAAAGAAAAATTTTGTCCACAGTGGGTGCAGGGTTCTGGTATGTCAATGAGGCCCAGTCTGTTAATCTGATTTGTTCAAATATGCTTTGACACAATCTGCTTACTCTACTAAGAATTGTGTTAAAATATGCCATCTTATCGTACATTTATTTCTTCTTCTCATTCCTTCCATTTTTAACCTTAAAAACTTTATTATATTTTGTGCTAGATTGGCCATTTTATCATTAGAAAATACCTCTCTTTATTTCTAATAATGAATCCAGGACAGATAAAATGCAAATAATAAGACTGTGGATTTAGTCCTCAGTGCATCAATAATTGTTTTAAATATAAACACACAATGATAATTTGAAGACAAAATTGTTATGATGCCACATTTGCTAAATCGGCATTCTTTTGGTTTGTTTTTGTCACAGCATGTTTTCATTTTTTTGTGTTCATCCATTCTGTCTCTGAATATGTATACTGTTTCTTTTGTAGGGAACACTTATTTTTTATTTTTAATTCATTATGATAAGCGTTCCCCAACTTCCTCAGTTCACAGTGCCCTGAGGATCTCAGTGATTTTTCCACATCATTCCTAGCCCAAAATGGAAATACCTTACAGTTTCGTTTGTTAAATAATTAGGTTCTAACAACTTAATAAGTCTTGTGTCCACAATTCTGAAGAATGGGATGTTGAGCGCTGTTCAACTTCTCAAACCTTAGAATTGTAAACCACTGCCCGGTTTCCTCTTCTACAATCGTTTTTATTTGATGCTGTATCACAGCCACTGCTGAAAACCCAGTTTTGCAATGATTTGATGTCACTGAAAGGAAACTACTGAGAAAAAAATAAAAGGAATCAACTGAAATCCCATGGAACCAGGAGGGACTGGGAGCTAGTAGTTTGCATAGTATCTGAGAGATACTGAATATTTCTGTGTTTCCACTGAAAATTTATCTATCTATCTATCTATCTATCTATCTATCTATTTATAAATGTTTATTTATTTTTTGGGATAGTGCAAGCCGGGGAGGGTTGTGGGGGGGAGGGGTGGGGACAGAAGAATTGAAGCAGGCTCTGCACTGACAGGCTGACAGCAAAAAGCCCAAGTTGGGGCTCAAACTCACAAGCCAGGAGATCATGACCTGAGCTGAAGTCGGATGCTCAACTCATTGAGAAACCCAGGTGCCCCTCCACTAAAATTTAAAATATGCCTCCTGTAAGATCATGGAGGCTCCCAGGGCACTCCAGTCCACAGTCTGGGAAATGCAGCAGTGTGCTAGTCTTTGTCTTTAAAGTGGAATTGGGGCTTCTGGGTGGCTCAGTCGGTTAAGCATCCAACTTTGGCTCAGGTCATGATCCTATGGTTCGTGGGTTGGAGTCCCGCATCGGGCTCTGTGTTGACAGCCCGCTCAGAGCCTGGAGCCTGCTTCAGATTTTGTGTCTCCCTCGCTCTCTGACCCTCCCCTATTCATGCTGTCTCTCTTTCTCTCTCTCAGAAATAAATATAACATTAAAAAAAAAGACAAAGTGGAATTGTTGGGGTGCCTGGGTGGCTCAGTCAGTTGAACGTTGGACTCTCGGATTTGGGTTAGGTCATGATCTCACGGTTAGTGAGTTCAAGTCCTGCATCCAGCTCCACACCGACTGTGCAGAGCCTGCTTGGGATCCTCTCTCCGCGCCCCCCCCGCCCCAACCCTGCTTGTGTTCTCTCTCTCTCTCAAAATAACAACAAAAAATAAAGCAGAATTGTCTATGCGTATTTAATATAATTGTTGATATATTTGGGACTAGATGTATCATTTTACTATTTGATTTGTATTTGTCCTTCATTTTCTATATTCTTTTATTCTCTTCTATTTTGCCTTCATTTTGATTATGAATTATATTTATTATTTTATTATTTATTTTAATTAGATTATTTGTTACACACTCTTTTACTGTTCCTTTAAAGATGGTGTGCATTTTCACCATATTAATATTCAATGAACAATTCTCATTTCCCCATCAACATAAGAACCGTAGAAAATTCTAACTACTTTCCTCCTGTCCTTGTTCTATCATGATTATGTTTTTAAATCCTACATATATCTTAAGCTCCCATTAGTCACATTCAAAGTACACACACATTGCTGGGCTACAGCCATTTGCAACTAAACTGGACCCTAATGGTAATGGATTCTCTCAGCAGGCTCAGCTGAGATTTTGGAAATCTGTAGAAATGTGTGGTTGCCTACATGATGAGCTCCCAAAGTCTTCCAACCCCTAATCCTGGGATCCTGTGAATGTTACCTAACATGGCACCAGGGCTTTGCAGTTGTGACTCAATTAAGAATCTTGAGATGAGAAGAATACCCTGGATTATCTGGATAGGCCCTAAATGTAATCACAAATGTCCTTAAAGGAGGGAGGCAAAGGGTCAAAGAAGACAGAGGAAGGAGAGTTGAAGAAACTGAAGAAACTGCATTTCTGGCTTTGAAGGTAGAGAAAGGTGGCCATGAGCTAAAGTATGCAGGCAGTCTCTGGAAGAGAAAAGAGCAAGGAAACCTAATCTCCCTTGGTGATGGGGTTTTGGAGTGGTGGGGGTCCAGAGTTGATGGCCAAGGAAGAATTCTCAAGATGCTTTTGGTGCAAAAAGGTGATTTTATTAAAGCACGGGGACAGGACCCATGGGCAGAAAGAGCTGTCCGGGGTTGTCATGGGTGACTGGTTATGTACCTTCAAGTTAGGACGGGTTAGGGAGAATGTAAGTCTCTAAGGAATTTTGCAAGCAAGGTTTTCCAGGACCTTGAGGGGCTAGCCGCTGGTTTGAAAAGGTCGTTTATTACTGTCTAGTAAAGACTCAGTCATGAGACCCTTCAGATTTACATAAGTGGGCCATGAGCTTGGAGCGTGATTGCCAGCATATATCTGGGGGCTGGGGGTTGAGATAAAGGAAGTTTTCAAAGGAAAACTTTGGATAAAGTAACTTACAGGATCCTTGTTTGGGGGGGGGGCAGTAGGTAATGTTAAGCTAGGATTCCCTTTTGCCCTTGAGGCAGCTGAGCTCCCAGAGGAAGGTCACTCTGCCTGTTTCAAAGACTTGTCAATGGGCTTCAGGCATTAAGCTTTTCATTTGCCTTTGTTTCCCACAATATCGGATCCTCCAGAAGGAACACAGCCTTGTGGGCCCATTTGAGAATGGGTCCAGAACTGTAAGAGAATAAATTTCTGTCGTTCTAAGCCATTAAGCTCATGGTAACTTGTTACAGCAGCAATAAGAAACTAATATAAAAGACCATGGTTTATAGTGTTATAAACTGGATTCATACAGAGCTGGACTTGGACCCAGTGCCTGTACTTACTAGCTGTGAGGTAAAAGTAAATATGCAAATTTGGATAATAGCCCTAATAAAAAAGAACGTATGAATCTTTACTGGAGAAAGCTTGACCTAGCTTCCTTTTCCTCCTTCATTTCCAATCCCTCAAATTATGGTTTGTTCCTATAATAAGCATATTAACGTAAACTCTGTAAACTCAAGATCTACCATATTTTATTTTAAAAAACTCTTCTGCATAGCTTTACAGTATATTAAATACAATAATTGAAAAATATTTATAGTATTCAGTTTGATGACTTTTGACACGTATATGTACCATGAAATGATTACCACAATGGAGATAAACATTTCCATCCCACTCCCTCTAGTTTCCTCACATCCCTTTGTAATGCATCCATCTCTCCACTGCCTCCTCCAGGTGATCTCTGACCTGCTTCTTCTTACTACAGACCAAATTGACTTTGTAGAATTTCATATAAACCAAATCACTCAGTTGGCATTTTTTTTCTTTTCTATTGGTCTAGGTTTTGCATAGAAAATTATTTTGAGATTCATCTGGGTTGTTGCATATATTTAAAAAATTATTTCTTTTTGCTCAGTAGTATTCAGTTGTACAAATATGCTTAATTTAGTTCATCTCTTTGGCTGTTGAAGGTCATTTGGATTGTTCTAGTTGTGGGCTATTACAAGCGAGGCCACTGTAAAAATTCTGGACAAGTCTTTGTGTGATCACATGCTTTATGTCTCTTGAGTAAATACGTAGGGCTAACATGCTCAGTCATATGATACAATTGTGTTCAACTTTTTAAGAAACTGCCAAACTGTTTTCCAAAGGGGTTGTATCATTTTACCAACCAGCAGGCATTCCAGTTACTTCATCTTATTGCCAATACTGGACGGTCAATTTTTAATATTTTAGCTAGTCTAGTGGGTGTATACTGTCATCTCGCTATGGCTTTTGTCCTGGGTGACACAGTCGACTTTGAAATACTCCCAATTCAAACTTTCCATTCAAGGCAGATTGATTTATTCTGTGCTAGAAACACAATTTACTTATTATTACCTCCATGTCTCTGTTCAAACATGAACTGTCCACCTGTCCAGTCTGCAGACCTTCTAGTCTTTTATGAAAAGATTTGCAACTGTTTTATTGAAACACCTCTATCAGTTAATGGAAAAGAAATGCATTAATTTTTTTGCATATTTGTATTTAATATTTTAAAATAATTATATATTTTATAATATTAGCATACTACATATTATATTTGGTATATTATGTAATCTAATGTAATCTATAATATGTATCATAATATGTAGTTTGGAATATGATATTATATGTAAGACATTAGATAAAATGATATATCTATATTAATGTATTAGATAAAATGATATATCTATTATACAGATTGATGTACATTACAAATTACTTATAAACTATATATACAAACTATAACAATGTAATACTATACATTAAATTATATTCATATTATACAGCTTAATAAATCTCACATATATAATATATAATGTCATTATATACATTAATTATATAACACATTGTAATATGCCATGCTATATACATAAATGTAACATAATTTATATAACATTGTTATATAACAGAACGATATTACACATATCGTATATTAAAATAGTAAATATATTTAATTACTTATATGTAATAATTTCATATTTATAAAAATATATAGTATCACATGTTGTACATAAACACAAATTTTAAAATATATGATAGAGATGAAGGAAACATTTTAAATGCTTTGCTAATCATGATGGCAAATTATAATTAATGTCTAAAGGGGCAAAATAGTCAAAATGAGTTTCTCTGTTCACATGAGTGGATGAAAAGCTACCGTTTCAAGTAGTCTTGATACTTTCTTCACCTTTTGATTTTGTCAACTTCTGGTTGTGATTAGACTGACAATGATTCTTCCTCTTAGTGTCTTTAGCACAGAGCTTGGATATGTGTGTGCCTGCGTGTGTCTGCGTGTGCGCACATCTGCGCGTGTCCGTTCACGGAAGGGATTGTCAGCGATGCCATTTTCTTGTTTGGTTAAGTCAGCCTTATGAGAATTAACTTCATTCCGTTTCTATGTGGAAAAACTTTGAAGTTACTCGTGCAATTGTAAAGGTTATATTACATAAAACGAGGCCAAATAAACCATAAGCCTACTCATCTGAGCACATGTAAAGTGAAATAGGTGACAAATCACAGAAAGCCAACAGGATTTCCCATCCTTTCTACCTCTCCTCTTTACCCAGCAGGGCAATAAAGTGAGATCTGCCCCGAGGACCAGGAGAGGGCGCCAGAGTCTGGCCTGCAATCCGTACGGCCCCGGCACCCTGAGGGTGCTCATTTGTATATAGAACAACTATCTCTGTTGTTTTCTCCTGTACAACCATTTTTGGATTCACTCCTTAAATGCTGCTAAGGCCTCGTTCCTCGCTCTCTGCCTTCTCTGATCATCAAAGCTGAGATGTCCCCCGTTTGAGGCAAGCTGTGGTCTTTAGGCCCTCGACATGGAAGTTCCTACTCACGGTTTCCCAGATCTGCAGGGGCTTTTCAGTTACGAAACACAATCACAGACACTCCACTACCTCATCTGATTTTCACAGTAGTCTTCTCACATGGCAGGATGTGGATTATGGTCATTTTCTAGGTATGGACACTGGAAGTCAGGGATGTGATTGAGTTGCCAGGCCCCAGGCCCACAGCTAGCCAGTAGCAGAGGTGGACAAAAAACAGCACCCTGGCCTCCTAATTAAGGAAAGCTCATAAAGCCCCACCACGCAGCTTCTACACGAATGCACCCTGAAGAAATTGCTCTCTCATAAAGTCCAAAGTGCTATGTACACTGTCAGCATTCCATAACCGTTTTATCTAAATTCCTTTGGCAAGTAAATTACTAGATGGTGTTTGGTTTAAGCTTTTTCACATTTTCAGGTTATTATGATAACCTTAGTAATTTTTTTTTTTTTTGCAATTAACATTCCAATAAGAAGAGGGCTAGATATATTCAACAGGTGCACAAAAATTCCTACGCATTGACCCTAGACTGCTTAATATACTTGGCTTGCTTCTCTTCTAGAAATAAAACTTTAGGCTTTATCACGGATCTTCACCTGGCAGGTTACTTTAGGAGGTCTATTAATAACAACTATTGTGGAAGCTCGGTTTTCCTTTTCCCTTACTCTCTTCGAAGGCATAAATAATTGAACGCGCAATGAATGCACAAAGCCTAATGGGAACGCACAATGTCTAGTGACAGCAGAGAACAAACTCAGGTGTCAAGAAGAGGTTGGACAAAAATAATTAAGACTCTCATTTCAACTGAGACGTTACCAATGGGTCCAAGCAACGAGGACTTCCCAGAAAGCCAAAAATAAGAAGAGAAGGGTTCAAACTGAAAACGTTTACCTATTTAAAAGGAAGGAAGGAGGGGGAAGGTGTAACCTCAACATTTCCAGTTAATTATAACAGGCTTTATTTTCTACAAAACACACGACCAAAATGCCGCACTGTGTAAACATCTCTACTCTTCCCTTCCATCTGCAACTAGTGGCACGAAGGCTTCTGAAGCTTCCCTGGCTCTTCTAACCCCGAGCGCAGCCGTCGGGACTTAGTTTCTCGTCGGCGCTCAGTAAGTGCACGTGGTGGTTTGGGGTGTGAATGGCGCGCAGCCAGGCAGCCGCAAGGCAGTTTTCGGTGAAAACGGCACCCGCAGGACTGCTTGTCCAAACACCCTCACGCACAAAGTTCAGAAGTAACGGCTGGAGGAAAGAACTTGATTAAGTGCCAGGCGCCCCGTTAGACCCCTGGACACACTTGATGCTACTTAGGTAACACCACGAGGTAGAAATCGGTGTTCCCACCACACAGAAAAGGAAACAGACTCCGACAGGTGTAGTAACCTTCCTCACGGTTAAGAACTTGCTAGGATTAGAACCCAAGGCGGCCGCATCTCCAGCGCCCCTTTCTTTGCTAGGGTCAGCACCACACTGGGCTCTCGCCGGCCTCTGTTAACAGACAAAGGCACGGATTTGCTCCCGCACCTGTTCGTCATCACCGGTGCACAACGCAAACCCCAGCAGAGGGGGATCACCCAGAGGCCCCTGGGGCCCCGCCACGGGCGGGGATCCCAGAGTCTACCTGCCTTCTCGAGCCACCCTGGGGACCCGAGCGCCCAGCCCCGCATCTCACCCCAGGCTGCCGGCAGCGCAAGCAGCACCAGAACGGCCAGCAGGGCTCCTCCGGAGCAGGAGAGAGGGGGAGCCGGCGGCCCGAGAGGCTGCGGGCTCCTTGGCGAAGAGGCTCCCATGCTCCCCGGGCACCTCCAGCCAGCAGGTGCGACCTCGAAGGAAAGCGCAGCGGAGAGAGATGAGAGCGGCAACGTGCTCGCCGGCTCGCACCCGGAGTGTGGGGAGAGCGGCCGGGGGGGACGGGGAGGAAGACTTTGACCGCAGCTTCCCTTTAAGGGGCGAAGTCTTGTTTACTCTTCATTTGCATCATTTCTAACGCATTCGCTTCCGAGACCACCGCCGGGACCCATCTGCAGGAGCACCGCTCGGTGGTGCTTCCTTTCCTCGATGGCGTTCGCGTGGACGATGGGCGGCTCCAGGGAAAGGCGGTGGATTCTCGGGGCTCAGCCCCCGCATGGCTTTGCCCCTGGGCAAGAATCCAAGTGCCTAGGTCAGCAAACGAAATGCCCGTTCCTTGTGTTAAAGCCACAGTTTGGGGCAACATGTACCGCGTATAGGAGAAACTAATTCCTTTATACTGAATTGAGATATACTGTGGTAGGGTCCCCTCCCGAAGGAAAGAAGAAAAAAAAAAAGAGCACCTCAAGGTAAGTCGCTATTTGCATATATGACAACATTCCTTACAACCTTGAAACATGAGACCACTTAACGAGACTACATGTTTGTGTGTTACCATATGTGGGAGACAAAGATCACATTTTTAAAATATAATTGTTTATAGACGGGGAGACTGGCTTGGAATAAGGCAATAGTGCATGGGGCTGACCAGCAAGGAGGCTTTTGCCATCATCCAGGTGAGATTTGATGGTGGTTTTGACTGGAGGTAAAGTGAGCAATTAAGAAACTAGAGACGGAATGAACAAAATTTCTTCATGCTTTGGATATTGGTTACTTCCTTTCTTAAAGTTAGTGCTGAGAAAAAGAAATAGTAATTAGCCCCAGGATTCAAAATCCATAAGGGTGCTATTATTGAAATTTTAAAAAATGTGGAAGAAGGACAGATTTGGAGAAGGGGGTTAAGAATTCTCTTGAATGGGTGTGTGTGATGGGTTGAATAATGACTACCAACAATGTCCACATCCTAATCCCCAGACCAGTGAATGAATATGTGATCTTAGGTGACAAGGGCGGGGGGGGGGGGGGGGGGGTTGCAGATGTGATTGATCTAAGGGTTTTGAGATGGGAGATTATCTTGGATTATCCAAACCGACAGTGTTATCACTGGGGTCCTTGTGAAAGTGAGGCACTAGATCAGAATGAGGAAGGCAAATGACTGAAGCAGAGACTGGAGAGGTGCTGACATGAGCCGAACTGAATGACAGCCACCTCTAGGTGCTGGAAAAGGCAACACCTTGGTCTCCGCCCTGTAGGATCCATTTGGACTTCTGACCTCCAGGCTGGTAAAAAAAAAAAATAAATCTGAGTGATTTTCAGCTACAAAGTAACTTGTAGCACCAATAGGAAACATATGGGAGAGAGAGGGAGAGTACATTACCCCCCCCCCCCCCCCCAAAACACACACACCAGTTGCCCACCAGGTGGCTCAGTTGGTAAAGTCTCTGACTTTGGCTCAGGTCGTGGTCTCACAGTTTGTGAATTCAAGCCCCACATCACTTTGCATCCTTTGTCCTCTCCTCTCTGTCTCTCCCCAGCTCACATGCTCTCTTTCAAAAATAAACCTTTTTTTTTTTTTTAAGGGAGATTATCAAAGGACTTTTTTTTTTTTTTTTAAACTAAGACTTGGGGGCATGAGACAGATGGAGTTTTAGTGAGAGCCAGGAGGTGTGGGAATGTTCTAGGAAAAGATTGGGGATATAGTCTCTTGATCATGAAACTGGACTTCCAGAGAAGTCTAACAAGAGACCTTTTGAAAAGGAAATGCGTGGAAGAGGGTCAAAATCTCAGGGGTTGATGACACTATTAAGGGAGAGCATGGAGAATAAAGGATAGGAAGACCAAGATGGAAACTTTTAGATGTGGTTCATATGTGGTTCATAGTTTTTAATATTTTTGTGTATGGTGGACCCCTCTGCCTCTTTGGCCAAGCCTATGGACCCTTCTCAGAATTATTATTTTTTAATGTTCATTTATTTATTTTGAGAGTGTGAGTGGGGAAGAGAGAGAGAGAGAGAATCCCAAGCATACTCTGTGCTGTCAGCGCAGAGCCTGATGAAAGGCTTGATCTCAAGAACTGTGAGTTCATGACCTAAGCCAAAATGAAGAGCTGTATCCTTAACCAACTGAGCCACCCAGGTGCCGCTAGAATTGATTTTTGTTTAACTTTTTAAATGTTTATTTATATTGAGAGAGAGAGAAAGAGAGAGAGAAGGAGAAACAGATCATAAGTAGGGGAGGGGCAGAGAGAGAGGGGGACACAGAATCTGAAGCAGGCTCCAGGCTCTGAAGGCTTGAGGTACATGGACAGATAATTTGGAGGAATGAAGATAGTACTGATTATGATTGAATAAAAGATGAACCGCATCCCACTCTTGGGTATGTATCCAAAAGAATTGAAAGCAATGTCTTGAAGAGCTATTTGCACACATGTTCGTAGCAGCATTATGTACAGTAGCCATGAAGTGAAAACAGCCCAAATGTCCACTGACCGATGAATGAAATAAATGTGATATATACATGCAACAAAATAGCTTCAGCCTGAAAAAGGAAGGAGATTCTGACACGTGCTACACCGTGGAGGAACCTTGAGGACATTACGCCAAGTGAAATAAACCCGTCATACACAAACACCGTAGGATTCAACATACAGGAGGGATCTAAAGTAGTCAAATCCATAGAAACAAGAGTAGAGTGGCGGTTTCTGGGGGCTGGAGGAAGAGGGGCAGGTAGAGTTATTGTTTAATAGATATAGCATTTCAAGTTTCTAAGATGAAAAGTTCTGGAAATCTGTTGCACAGCAGTGAATATGCAAACATTTCTGAACTGTACACTTAACAATGGTTAAGATGGTAAAGTTTAACTTGTATGTATTTTAAAACAAAAACAAAAAAGATGCCAAACAGAATACATAGTCTAGGAGAGGGTGGCGAGAGAAATTTGCAGTAGCCAGGGAGCGAGATTTTATGTTCTCAATAGTATATAAATGCTCGACCAAGGAAAACTGGCAGCTGGATTTTTCTTTCTTTTTTTTTTTAATTTTTTTAAATATTTTTATTTATTTCTAGGAGAGAGAGAGAGAGAGAGATAGCATGAGCAGGGGAGGGTAAGAGAAAGAGGGAGATACAGACTCTGAAATAGGCTCCAGGCCCCGAGCTGGCAGTCAGCACAGAGCCCAACGCGGGGCTCGAACCCATGAACCGCGAGATCATGACCTAAGCGAAAGTCGGACGCTTAACCGACTAAGCCACCCAGGCCGCCCCTTTTTTAATTTTTAAATGTGTATTTATTTTTAAGAGAGAGAGACAGACAGACAGACAGAGCATGAATGGGGAAGGGGCAGAGAGAGGAGGAGACAGAATCCAAAGCAGGCTCCAGGCTCTGAGCTGTCAGCACAGAGCTGGACACAGGGCTCGAATTCACAGACTGTGAGATCATGACCTGAGCCAAAGTTTGCTGCTCAACTGACTAAACCACCCAGGTGCCCAGGCAGCTAAATTTCGAGGGTGGTGGCGGGGGGCTGGGGAAAGGTGTGTTATCTGGACAAATAGAAGAGAAAATCTTGAGGATGAGGGAATTGAGTTTGTGGGCTGAAAGTTGGCTAAAACAACAGAGTGGAGAGATCCAGAAAGCATAAATGTTAAATCAGGAACTCTAGAAATCCTAACTAACTGCAATGCAAATTAAAAAAAAAACAACCCAAAACAAAACAAAAAACCTCTAAGAGATCATTGATTCTAGAGGAAAAAAAGTCCTATAAGCAAATGTTTTTGTTAAAAGATAAAATTTATTTGAGTGACCACTGCACACATTATTAAAGGACACAGAGCTTTGACAAAACTGCCAAGGAAATATCTGAAGCCTGAATTGTATACCAAAACCTTACAATGGAAACTTGATTCCTGTAATGAAAAAAAACTGTGCAAATTGGAATTACTGAGTGAATATGGAAAGAAAAAGTATACATTGTGGGGGAGATAAGAACAACAACAACCTTCAGACCAAGTGGAAATAAAGGTGAAACGTTTAACCATATGAGAGCAAGATGCTACTATTAAAATAAAATTAGACTTCCCAACAAAAGTATGCCCTTTATAACCACATGAAATGCTCTCTCTTTTGCTTAAATAGTTAAAACCACTCCAGAACCAAAAGTATATGGTGACAGTAAGCATGCTGATTACAGCAGAATGGTCGAGTTAGGAGGGCAAAGCTTTTTAGCGCCTTCCTTAAAATGGCGACACTTTCGGAGTTCTGTTCCTTGTCTGGAGCCATAGCCAGGCTCCAGACGCATCACAGGGGAGCCTTCAAAAAGTCCTTGAAGAGAGTGTGGTGGGGAGACTGGGCTCCCGTCTTTGTTATCAAGCAAACTTTCTTTGTTCTGCTTGAGAGAAAGTGTGTATGGGAAATCATAGCTTATAAAATCATTTCATTGATGTCGAAACCATACACATAGACTTGCTGATATTACGATAGCTTCTTCCGAACTGATGTGCAATAGGATCCAAGAACAACGCACTCTGAAATAGAGAATTTCTGTTCAGGGGGCAGCAGGCAACTCAACATTTACATAATGAGAATGTTAACGTTGTCTCTCTCCGCTAAAGTGCTATAACCGATAGAATGGTGTCTCCTAAGAGGCTGGATGCCCTATCAGCAGATGCCTTCTTCAAATAACAGGATCTGAAGCAAATAATAATTAAATTTTATATTGAGGAGTATGAATAATAAGAAATGAGGGAGAAATCCAAGCAATGGCCTCATTCTTTCTCATTCATGCATTCATTCAACACATATTTATGTACTCATTTTACATGGGTCCCCCAGTGGTTTGGATTTAGGTAGCACTCTGGCCTGGTCTCCGCTGCTGTCTTTCTTTTTCCCATGGTTCACCGGCAACAGGTAATCTTTCCTTTCTCAGCTACCAAGGCAGTTTTTCTGTGTCTTGGTTAGGGTACTCATTCCTACACCCTGATATGTCGATGTCTATTTTTTGTACTAAAATAAGTTCCAAGAGGACAAAGGGATTTATTTTTATGTTTGATAGATTATGTAAGAGAAAAGCAATTTGAAGGCAGATTTGAGCTTGAATTCAGCCTCTGCCTAGTACTGATCCTGAGACCTTAGCCAATAGTTTAGCTTTGGTTCTCTCACCTTGGATATTATATGCTCACCTCGGTATTACTTTGGGATAATTCTCACTTTTCACTGTTGTAGCGAGGGCTGAGATAAGGTGTGAAAAGTGAGTATTATTCCAAAAGAACACCGAGTTTCCCTCTCACACTCCAGGACTCCTGATGTGGAAGGACCCAAGACCCAGCATGTGGACCTTTTCTCTTCCCTAGCCCGTCAGCCCCTTGCTAATCTTATTTGATTTCATTATTACACACATCCATACGCTGACAGGGCCCATATTTATGTCTTGAGCCTGGACTTATTCTCTGAAATACAGGCTTGTACATCCACTGCCTTCTAGATACTTCTATTTGGATGTCTATTAGATATCTCATTTCTAACCCCTCCAAAGCGAAACTCCTGAGTTTTTTCTCCCTAATCCTACCTTTTCACACTGTCAGTCATCCTAAGTAGTGGTGATTCTGTCCTTCTAGTTGTCAGGCCAAAAAACCTTGCCATCATTGCCTCCTCCCTTACAAACTGTGAGCCAACCCTACTGGTCGCTATCTTAAAAATAATTCAGGGACGTCTGGGTGGCTCAGTCAGTAAGTATCCGACTTCTCTTGGATTTTGGCTCAGGTCATAAACTCACTGTGAGATCGAGTCCCATGTTGGGCTCTATGCTGACAGTACTGAGCCTGCTTGGGATTCTTGCTCTCCTTCTCTCTCTCCCTCCTCCCTCTTCTCTCTCTCACAAATAAATAAAAATAATGCAGAAGCTTCTCTCTTCTCACAGCATGGTGATGGCCTCTCACAACTTCCTGCCTAGACTGTTCTGATAAAGTCTTCACGGACTCCCCCATCTTCCACCTTTGTCTTCCTATACTCAGTTCTCCACACGGCGGTTAAAGTGACCATTCTCTCCTCTGCTTAAAACCCATTGGTTTCTATCTCAGAATACACACAAGCTCATTGCCATGAGCCTGCATACTCTGTATGATCTATCCTCCTCACCCTCCTCACCCTTACCTATCCGATTTCATCCCTACCCCTCTCTCCCTTAGTCAGTCCACACTAGGCCACACTGGCCTCCTTGCTGTGCCTTCAACACCACAGGCTCACACCACCTTATGGTCTCTGCACCTGCCATTCTTTCTTCCTGGAATGTTCTTCTATATGACTAGCTCGTTAATTCATTGTAGTCTTTGCTCCAAGGCCATTTTCTTAGTGAGGACCTCCCTTCCAACTACCCTGCCCTTTCTCCTTTTTCTGCTTTATTTCTCCTCAAAATACGTATCATCTTCATTTTATTCTTAATCACTATTCCATGTATTTCATATTTGTTGAATGGATGAATGAACTGGAAAAAAACAAACAAACCCGTGGCATTAGTTTGCAATGTGATGTAGGTCAGTTAACAATTTCTGTGCATGATTTCTGAAGACTTGTGCAAGAAGAACCATACTTATTTAGTACTATACTTATTGATGAATATAAACTGAAGACATTATGACAGATGAATGACTAAAAACATTCCAATTTCATTAGATACCTGTTTGTCTTCTGATTAGCTTGCTGGGTTGTACGGATCAATAGAGTATACTTCTTGTGTTTCTAAATGAATATCTTCTTTAGGGCTTTTATCTGTATAATAATTGCTAAATGGAAGAAGGAAGAAAAAAGTAAACTCTTTACTCATTGGCCTTGATTACCGTAAACGTGTCATAGTTGTTTGTTTTCTGTAATTCGCATCACACGATAAGTACTTTACATGAATGATTTCATTTTGTTGTCCAAAGAATCATATGAGATCATCACTATCATCCCTATTATTTGGTAGGGCCCATAAAAATAAACAACTTGCTAGGATGCTAAGTGTCCAAGTCAGAAATTGATACGAAGTCGCCTTCCCTCAGATCCAGGACTCTCAATGACAGAACTATGACCGTCAGTTTGAAAAAATAAATTTAAAAAAGGAGCTTTAATTTTAGGATATGATCATAAATTTACCTTTTTGGGACACAGTCTTCCAATCTAATTAAAGGAAAGTTCTTATATTTGATGTGAAATTCAGAATCGTTCTGTAGTCTTACAGCACTAAATGCCTGAAGTACTTTTTAAGAGGGCATTTTTACTTTTACTCTTTGAAAGCCCATGTACTTTACTGTGCTTCTAAAACCACTTAGCCAAAATTACCAAGAGACATTAAAATGTGATCATATTATCATGTAGAACTCTGAAATAAAGTATTGCAAAAGTACCAAAGAAAGATTTCTGCTACGAGTACTTAGATCATGTCACTCACTACTGTATTTAAGAGGTCAGCTTATAGGTGGATACATTAAGAATATTATACAATGGTAATTTTTAGGTCTACACGAGGTTTAGGTTTTATTAAAATATCTTAGATGATGGGAGAAAAAGAGTGGTCTCTCTCAAATGTTTGGGTGGCTTTTAAAAATATTTAATTTGGGGGCACCTGGGTGGCTCAGTCAGTTAAGCACCTTAACTCTTGATTTCGGTTCTGGTCATGATCTCACAGTTAGTGACATCGCGGGGCCTGCTTGGGATTCTGTTTCTCTGCCCCTCACCCATACGTACACTGTTTCTCTCAAAAGAAATAAACATTTTAAACAATATTTACTCTTGTTACTTAGACAAAATTTCTAAGTAACCAATTACTTATCTCATTCACAGAAAGTATTTAAGGCAGTTCAAATGTCTATATCAATGATTAGAAAATAAATTGAAGTCAGTTACAAATTGGAAATAAAACAAGTTGAGTGGTGCTTCGGAATGGGGTTTAACATACAGGTTTGGTTTATATCAATGGAGGCACTTAAATATAGTATTTGATATAGTCCTATTCATAAACTTTATAAACTGCCTGGAACATTATAAATTCTTTGAGCTTGTAGGCACGTGCAACTCCCTGATAGCAAACTGAGTAGTATGAAGGAACGTGATAGAGACCACACTTTCTATTTATTTAAATTTCTAATTACTCTTGGCTAAAATTATCTTCTAACTTCCTGTGAGGAAAGCCATGTGACTGACATCCCTGGTTTGTTTTTTTTTTTTTTTTTTTTTTTTGAGGCCCTTTTCTCCCTTCATTCTGCGAAACTACTTTTGTTTTCCTCTTGCTTCTGACTGTCCCTTCCTCTTCTCACTTTTAAGCATTACTGTTCTTCTGAGATCCGTTTTCATTAATTTTATGATCTTTTTGGTCCCAAGGCTTCAAATGTGACTTAAATGTCACCTGCCTGAGTCCGAGTGCCTCTTTCGAGTCCTGCACCGTAGGTGCCCCAAAGTGATAGGACAGAACTGAACTCCTCTTTCTCCACAAACCTGCCCCTCTCTTCTTTTGGTGAACTGGATCCACTCCACAGGAGTCATTCTTTTCACTCCCTTCTGATGGCATTTGGCAAGTCACCAAGTCCCAGAAATCCTCTCTCCTAAATAGTGAAGATTCCTCTTCTATCTATCGATCCCCACCACGGCTGCTTTGGTTAGAAGCTCAATCCTGCCTCTTCTTTTGAAAATACATATCTAAACATATTATTACCTTGCTCAAGATCCTACAGGACATTCACCAACTCCTTTGTCAGGGTATGCAAGGCTTTTGATGATCTAGCTACTGCCCACCTCTCTAGATTTCCCAGTGACTGTTCAGTGAAACATTAATTCCATGCGATGTTCAAGCACGGTGTGAGAAAAAGAGTTCTGCAGTCCAATTAGTTTGGGGTGCTCTGGTTTCAAAATAAAATTAAACAGACTTCCTCATTGTAGGGCTTAAATATTCTCATGATCACTGCGAATCTTCATGAGAAAAATAAAGCATGTAGTACTTTCCAGTTTTATTTGGTCATAGAACACCCTTTTTATTTCCTGAAGTTATTTACACAATGAGCGTTATATGGCCCATATTCTGCTAAACACTACAGTCTAAAGTATATCACAATTGTAGGTCCTTCTAGCACCTGTGGTGCTCAGGTCCTGCCAAGCTTAGAACAAAGCACTCACATTCACAAGTGTCATCGTTCCAGAGGTTCAATGTAACCCCTTCATGTCTAATGCTTCCGTCAGGCATTTTTCAACTGTAAACAGTGTGTCAGCACTGGTGGCAGACTAAACAATGGATCCAGGCCAGGGCATCTGGGTGGCTCAGTCAATTAAGTGTCCGACTTCAGCTCAGGTCATGATCTCATGGTTCATGAGCTCCAGCCCCGCGTCGGGCTCTGTGCTGACAGCTCAGAGCCTGGAGCCTGCTTCAGATTCTGTGCCTCCCTCTCTCTCTGCCCCTTCCCACTTGCACTCTATATCTCTCTCTCTTTCTCTCTCTCCCTCTCTCTCTCAAAAATAAACATTTAAAAAAAAATAGATCCAAGTGACTTAGCATGTTAAAGTAATGTTGCTGGAGTTTATGGGTGACATATTTTGGGTGACCCGACTTGGTCACCTCCCACTAGAAGGTACCTGAGACTTTGTAAGGCTTCACCTGGCCTCTAACACCAGCACATACAGAGATTCAAGAACCTATGCACACACACCATTCCCAGGCTGACACCTGATGGTCTCATTTGCTAAACAATATCCTTTGCACTTATCAGAATATTTTGATGCAAGATTTATGGGTTAGAGGGTTTTTTACGCCATCTCTCCACCTACATCTATGCTGTCTTCCCCTCAGTCACCATTGTCAGACTGCTTACGCAGTTCTCACAACACAGGATGGAATGTCAGGCCACTGAGTCTTCACTCAAACTGCTCCTTCCACTTGGAAAACCTTTCTCTCCTGGTCTACAATCTCCCGAGTCCCCTTTGAAACATTATGCTCACCATGGAATTTTTTTTTCTGATCAAAATTCTCAGTTGACTATTTGCTTTGTGCACCTGCCAAGTAGCACATAACCTACTATGGCAATATTACATTATAGATTCAAATGTTTAGGGGTCCCTGGGTGGCTCAGTCGGTTAAGCATCTGACTTTGGCTCAGGTCATGATCTCACAGTTCATGGGTTTGAGCCCCGTGTCGAGCTCTGTGCTGACAGCTAGCTCAGAGCCTGAAGCCTATTTCAGATTCTGTATCTCCCTCTCTCTCTGACCCTCCCCACCCCCCATTCACACAGTCTCTCTCTTTCTCAGAAATAAAGCATTAAAAATTTTTTTTAAAATAAATAAAATGTTCAGTTTTTAAACAGTTAAAAATAAAAGTTGATCAAATCTCTAGATAATAAAACATAATACAACAAAACATAGAAACCTAGTAATATATTTAAAAGCAGTCCTGAAAACAACAACCAAGTGAGAGAAGAGATTACTTGAACAAATAGAAAGGCCTACAATGTTTCCGAATAGGAACACATTACAGAGAAGATGCCAGTGTCTCACCCACCAATCTATAGACTTAAATGCCATCACAACATATGATTTTTTTTAGAAATGACAAATGACCTAAAAATCACCTGGTAAGAACAAACAGAAGAGAATAAAAAGGAAAATAGTAAAAATTATAGCAAGGGAATTCTTGCCCTGTCACATATATTAAAGCAGTATAAAACTGTACTAATTAAACACAAAGTGATTTGTGATAGAAGAACAGACAAATCAATACAGCAGGGAAAACAGTCCAGAAATACAACATATCCAAAATATGTTAATTATTCAGTGTACAGTCAAGTGAGAACAAACTTTTTGGAAAGTCACTGGGCAATATTTATTAAGCACCTTAAATGTTCATACTCTGACTCCTAGTAATTCTAGATATCTATGCTACATAAATAAGTAGATGTGGAAAAAGGTTTGTTCAAATGTGCTTCTTGTATCTTTATTATCAAAGTAAATGTGGAAGCAACCTAAAATTTCCACAGTACAGAAATACACAGAACAATACGCTGTTAAGTAACGAAAGAGAAAACATAAGATACAAAAGATGAAGGCCAAATTAAAAAAACTAGGTAGGAGACTATCATGCCAAAATTTCAGTTAAAGAGAGGAAAAAGAGAAAGAATATAAGAAAAAGATCGGATAGGAATATACCAAAATATCTGCCGTTGTTACCACTGAGATTTTTCAAATTTTAATTTTCTAGGTTTTTAAAATAATATATCATCTGAGTAAACATCATTCAAATACGGTGTTTGATATTTAAAAAAAAATTTTTAATGTTTGTTTTTGAGAGAGAGACAGAGACACAACATGAGCAGTGGAAGCAGAGAGAGAGAGAGGGAGACACAGAATGTGAAGCAGGCTCCAGGCTCTGAGCTGTCAGCACAGAGCCTGACACGGGGCTGGAACTCCTGAACCATGAGATCATGACCTTAGCCGAAGCCAGTTGCTTAACCAACTGAGCCACCCAGACGCCCCAATGTTCAATATTTTTTTTAAGTTCTTACACAGGGGGCTTCCCTCCCTATTGCATAGGGTCTCTTACTCCATGATCCCACTACAATATTCATGTCATATAACTTGTGCTTCCGAATTTAGTTTCAGGCAGGAAGCCAAAACCTTCTGTGCCGTTTGGCCAAGCATGAATTGAACTTACCGTTCTCTGTGTTTGAATATCATGCATAAGGTGACACTAATCAAGAATATAAGAAGTACCGAACCTGCAGAAAGACCTAGAAAACAAAACAGCAAGTATCAAATCCTAGAAAATTGTGATCTATATTGTTTTGAAGTGATTGTAGGGCTATTCCTACTGGGGGGTGGGGGGGTGGGAATATGATGTGACTATATACCTCTCCTTTCCTAGCCATATAAATATCAAATTCCTAAATAATCATACTTGGGATTAAACTTTCTTTGTATTATTTGGTCCAGCCCACATTTAATCTAAAGCATCAAGCATTTGACTATGGGGCCCCATATTAGTAATATTCTCGTAACTGGCATGATATGAGGAGCTCGGGACACCAGGATCCCACGACTTGGCATAACAGTATAACTCAGCTGTGAAACTGATTTGGCCGCTGCAGAAGAAGCCATCCTATTTGATAGTACCAAATCATGCAGAGGACCAGAAGTTAATATCAACTGCACTTTCAGTGTAAAAACTTGGAGCAACTGGGTGTTTAAATCATTTATTCAACATGACCCAAAAGTCAGTGTGTAATATGGAGTACACATTAAAAGAGCCTTAAAACAGCAAAAAGGATAATTTCCTAAGACTTAAAGTGAAAAAAAGTAACAGGCAGGATATAGGGCCTCAAATTATTTATATATACACATATATATGTAAATGTATATATGCACCATATATGTATATAAATACACACATATATGTGTGTATATATACACATTGTTTTAATGTTTATTTTTGAGAGACAGAGAGAGAAAGCAAGCACAAGCATGGGAGGGGCAGAGAGAGAAAGAGACACAGAATCTAAAGCAGGCTCCGGGCTCCAAGTTGTCAGCACAGAGTCCAACACAGGGCTTGAACTCACAAATTGCAAGATCGTAACCTGAGCTGAAGTGGGTCACTTACCCAACTGAGCCACCCAGGCACCACTTATGTACTTTTTATAAATCATTAGAAGGGTGTCTGGGTGGCTCAGTCGGCTAAGCATCCAACTTTTGGTTTCAGCTCAGGTTTGTGAGTTTGGTTTCATCTTATGGTTTGTGAGTTTGAGTCCCCACATCGGTCACTGCACTGACAGTGCAGAGCCTGCTTGGGATTCTCTGTCTCTCCCTTTCTCTATGCCCCTGCCACACGCTCTCACTCACCCAAAACACATAAATAAACTTTTAAAAAATCATTAGAGATTTAATGCAAATATTTAAGAAAACTTACCACAAAGAAGAGGAGCAAGCGAGGCTAAAGAGAATACAAAATCATGAAAATATTAGTCTAGTCACAGGCTTCAGTACAGCCCAAAGTCCCATGGTAACATCCCCAGAATTAACATTCAGCTCCTTTCTCTCAAAATCCACTTAAAAAGATGTGTTGGGATCCTGGATTATAATCACTCTTCATTTTTTAATGTAACAACTCACTAGACTTTTAAAAAAATCTCACTTTAAGTTGGGGTAGTTCATGAATGAAAAAACCAACATACTCAACGTCATCATCGGAGCTTTCTCAGGTTACGATGCAAATATTAGCTGTTAATATTTATTATTAATTACAACAGTTGTTCACCATATTTTTAGAGGTCCGTGTCCAATTGGTAAGTGGTTATAAATCAAGACCCGACAAGGGAAATCTCAGTAACGACTCCTTTCAAAACGTAAGGTTGTTAGTTTTGCACCTCATAAGTTAGTATTCCTCTCCCTTTATTTTCTTTCTTTACTTCCTCCATGCTCAGAGGGTTTTGCCTTTTCTAGAACAGACTACTAGCTTCAAACTCTTCCATTACTATAGTACTGGTCATGGACCCATGTCAATTTAAAACCTAGAACTTAACGTTGAGGGATAGGCCTTACTCTTCTCTCCAGTGAGACAAGTATACAAGCTGCAGTGATGCCCTTGGCACTTACCTGGCGATTTGCAAACAGCCAGGGGCGGGTTCCATCCGTGATCGTCCTGGCACTGGCTCTGAGGACTGCCTTCCAGGGTGTACCCCTCTTCACACTCCAGAGTGACCACGGCTCCGTACTGATACATTTTCCCAGGCTCCAGCCCCTTCTGGAGTCCACTAATATACTCTGGGGAGCTACAGTTTACCTCTGAAATGAAAGAAAGCTAATGGAAGCGGGGTCATAGTTTAGCCTTTTCTCAAGGAAATAGATGCCGCCCTGAATGAAAAGATTTAGGAAACCAGCTCATTCTAAGTATTCTAAGTAAAGCATTCTAAGTAAAGCCTCACTGGGATGACAGCGCAAAAGGATGTCTTAGGCAGAGTCTTTTGTGTCAACAATCCATCTCAATGACCTCTAGGCAATTTAAACCAGATTAGTTTCCTTCTTTGTGATTTAGTTTCTAAACTGATAGTGTTGGATCATTTTAAAGGCTTCTTAGAGAAATGGTGAGGGCTGAATGGGTGATATTAAGAATTCTGAAGGACTGTCTCATCTGCTCCACTGTTCCGCTAGAATTCTCCTGACAGGAATATGCTCCCTCATTTCTTCTTTCATCTTGCAGTGTAGGGGCTGATAGTGGAAGATTCAGGATTTGAATCATGACTCCTAGACTTGCCAGCTGTGTGACGTCAGGTAAGTTACAAATCTCTCCGTTCTATCAAGACCTCACCTGTCATACAGGAATAATAATGGCACTAACCTCATATCACTCTCAGGAAGATTAAGGATATAATCTGCAAAATTGTTGTGCACAGTTTCTGGTATTTAATAAAAAGTACTCAACAAATATAGGAAATTAACTCACTGCATATTTCATATGCATTGTTTATGTCAATGAAAGTGAAATTCTGAAGCTTTTATTAAAAAATAGACCCATAATGCCACCACCACAATGCCACCACCACTCATAGGAAATATACTGACAAGATTGTGCTTTTTATTAGTATTTTGTTGGATGCACACTTCCATAACTACAAGCACAGTGTCGATTCAACCTGCATTTAGTTGTATAATTTATGTAAGCACTTCAATTTTCTGTATTTGGAGGATTACATAAGTGATCACTCATCAGATAAACTATTCCCTAAGTCATTGTTTCTTATCGTGTGGTTAATTGATGGATCAATCAAATTAAATCAATCCAATAAAATGCATTGTATTAAATGATCCAATTAATGCATTTGTCTATTTTAAGTTGAAAGTACCAAAGTGAATATACTTACGTGGGAGAAATTTAACTGAAAAATAAGAAAATAACAGACATGGCACCTTTACAATAAGGGGCAGGTTGACTCCAGGTTCCCTCATGTGTGCAAAGGAGGAAGGCTTCTCCCACCAGCAGGTAGCCTTGGTCACAGCTGTACAGGATTGACATTCCGGAAGGAAATCGAGCTAGATCTCCACCAGTATGATTCCCATTGGGTATCTTAAGCGGAGGCTGACATCCTAAGAAAGCTTGGACACCAAGAAAAAAAGGATCTTTAATTTAGCACAGAGGAGCATATAGCCAACACTATCTGTGAGCGATAGTGATACTGAAAGAAGATAAGAAACATGCCCAACTAATTGGTAACCAGAAATACTCATCCCGCATATATCCCATATATTTCTACATATATCATGTGATCTGAAGAAAGATGTCAGAAGTAAAACAATGAAAAATCAATGGTTGTAGCCCACAACTGTAATCTGTCAGTTAACAGTTTTCTTTTATTTTCCATTAAAATTTTTTTAAATTTATTTCTGAGAGAGAGAGAGAGAGAGAGAGAGACAGCGTGAGCAGGGAGGGTCAGAGAGAGAGGGAGATATAGAATCTGAAACAGACTCCAGGCTCTGAGCTGGCTGTCAGCACAGAGCCCGACATGGGGCTCAAACCCACGAACTGTGAGATCATGACCTGAGCTGAAGTCAGACGCTTAACCGACTGAGCCACACAGGTGCCCCTCTTTTCCCTTTAAACAGCAGAAAGGCTATAGTTTAAGAGTTTCACACTCAAATGCCTACAGAAACCAGGAAGTGAAGCCACCATATATGACAAATTCAAGAGCATCTGTCCTAAAAAATGGCAGCCATTGCCATCCAATTCAAGCTACTGGCGCCCCGCAGGAAAGCAAAGCACTATATTTCAGCCAAAGAAAACAGTTCTGGTGAGCTGGATTCAGTTCTTAGGGCACCAATTAGCAGCCTCTGTTGTAGATAGTTACTGACAGGAATAAAACTGCCAAACAATAACTAAAAAAAGAAAGAGAATTCAATGGGTTTGAAGGCAGTATTCCTCTCAAGAAACCCAAAGTTCTCTTTCTGGCTGCTATCACAGCTTTAAATATCAAATTATCAAGCAGTGTTATTGCCAGACCCTTTCCCTCCCAAAAATATGTGTATTTTTAAAATGATAAATGAGTTAAAAGAATAAATTTTAGAGACTCCATCAATCTGGGAGGGATCCTCTCATGTACTTTTGCTCAACACACTTAGAAAAGTATCCTCTCATGTACTTTTGCTCAATACACTTAGAAAAGGGAGATAAAAAGAATCAGATGAAAAGATAAGACAAGGCAGGCATCTTGTAAAACAACGTGACTGCCTTCAATTTTACGTGCTTTTCTGTTGTTCAAATGGCCAGTGTAGATTCAAAGCCCTTTCCTTTATTCTGTGCAATATCCAGTATTTAATTCCTTAAAATATCTTACCCATTCTGATACAAGTTGGTACACCTGGCACCCACTGGTTATTGGTATGACATCTAATCAAGTGACTGCCATTCATGATGAAGCCGGGATTGCAGGCAACATAGACTGTGTCATTGTGGGAATATGAAGAGCGAGTTTTGTTTAGCTTATATCCATGTCTGACTTCTGGGTTAGGGCAGTGAGTCACAGGTACAGATTTTAAGCACTGGGGGATAGGTCTGCTCCAAGATCCATGTCCTTCAGGATCACTTATGCATCGGATATTTTTCTCTCCCAGAAGGTAGAATCCCTGGTCACACTCATAAGAGACTTCATCTCCATATAGAAAGTGTTCGGCCATCACACCCCTGTGCCATCCATGGTCAATCACAGGTGGAGGCGGGCAGTGAACAGCTGCAGAAGAGAGTTAGGAAATTCTACTTCAGCTGCACACAGTCTTCATTCAGGCACAAATGAAAGTAGGCAACTGTAGGTATTGCACATAACTATAAAATAATTTAGATTTTAGGACCTGGGTTATACTTGCTTTAAAACAGCTTTATTAAATTCTCTGTGTGACTAGTACATCATACTCATGCAAAAAAAAAAAAAAGGTCAGAAAACATAGTGAAGTATTAATAAAAGAATAAATACAGCTATGTTACCAAGAACTAGAAATCTAGGCCATATATATATTTTCTTAAATCTTAAGCAGATATATGGCAAACACTCAGTTCCTACTTGACAACTTTGTTTCCCAAAGCTAGTGCCCATCAAACACTGAAAGCTTTGCCTTATCTTATGCACACTGAGACAGAACACATGGACTATTGAGGTAGTTATAGGCTGGTTCCTCAGTGGCCTGTCCTCTCTAACCCCATACAGCCCACCGACAACTTTTTTTTTCTAACTTACCTTTACAAAGTGGAATCTTTTGGAACCAAACTCTGTTCTCAGTATCTTGACACTTCTGATAAGCATGTCCAGTCATCCAGTACCTAGAGAGAGACTGTAATGCATTTCCTCTTCCTGGTATCACATCTCTGCAACCTCTCTTCCTCAAATCACAGATATAGGGGTATTTCTAAATAAGAACTTCGGGAGACAGGAGCTAAAACTCTTGGCCCTCCAAATGTGAAAACTACTTTGAGCAGAGTTTTCCATAGCACAGTCATTTCTATGTCAAGAAAGGACTGAAGAGTCAGAGATATTAGACCTTTAGAACCTCACATTCTCTGTGAGTGTGACAATGAGAGAACTCTAGACAGAGTCACCAAGACAAGTTGAGGATAGAATTAATGCATAAAACTAGTGGAGACCCTTTCTAAGAGTGGATCCTCTTATACTCACCCCTCTTGACAGGACGTATTAACTGGTACCACATGTGAATAAACGGGAGGCTCTTGAAGATCGTCTCTCACAGGTTGACACAGTGCTTCTAGGAGAGTGAAGATGGAGTTACTTACACATGCCCAGTATCACACAGAAAGACAACTCTGGAACTGAAAGTACCTTCACACCGAGGGGCAGAAGGACTCCAATTTCCTGAAGGCATACAGTGGATGGATTTGTTTCCCACAAGCAAGTAGCCAGGGTCACAGGTGTAGTGTACAGTCATCCCAGAGACAAAAAGGTCCCTACTTCCACCTGTATGCCGACCATGCTGAAGCCCAAAAGGTGGCTGGCAGCCTGAAGAGAAAACTCCCCACATAAATACCAACAAAAAAGAGGAATTTATACGTGAGAACATGTAGTATACATCATTTGACGACAGACAATCTGAAACCTTTAAGCCAAAGGTCATGAAGCTCTAATTCATTACTGAACATTTTCTGCTCTTTTGCAGGAACTAGGCACCTTTAAAAAAGTCAAGAAACAGAAGCTTAACAACAGAGAACAAACTGATGGTTGCCAGAGGGGCGGTGGGTGGGGGATGGGTTAAATAGGTGACAGGGATGAAGGAGGGCACTCGTGATGAGCACCTGGTGCTGTGTCGCTAAATTCTACACCTGAAACTAATATTACACTGTCTATTACCTAACTGGAATTTAAATAAAAACCTGGAAAAAATAAAAAGCTCCTCTCATTACCTCCTCTAAATATATCTCAGATCCAAGGGGGCGTTTACATAAAGAACATCTAAAAACACATAGAACATTCCGTCCCAGAACGGAAGAAATCGGATAGTAATCTGTGCACGCTTGCCTTTTCCCATGACTCCAGTTTTGGGTTGGAGATAATAAACAAGAATAAATAAATAAATACCTCATTTTACCCCATGGGGTCTTTACCTTTTTCACAAACTGGTATTTCAGGATCCCAGGTGTTATTGGCTTTGCAACGAATCTTACTGCTGCCCTTCAGAGTAAATCCGTCATTACACTTGAATGTCACACTGTCATTGTAGAAATATGGGGCTTCCTTGCCAGATATCTTGTATCCATTTGCAACGTGGGCAGGTGAACAGTGAACAGCAGGGAGGGAAAGTTTACAGGCAGGGGCGGGGCCACTCCAGATGCCCCTTTTTCGGTCATTGCTTATACAACGGATGGTGCTCTCTCCAATGAGGTTGAATTTCACTCCGCTCTCAGGCCCAGGGTTACATGTATAGGTGACCGTGGTTCCATACGGAACATTTCCTGAGATATTCCCTGTGTGTTTCCCATTGTCAATCACAGGAGGTGGTGTGCAGGTGATTTCTGGAGAGAGAAGAATTTACCATGGAATTCTGTTCCAGTTTTAGACACCAAAGAAGAGAAATGAAGCTGGTTACAAACTTGTTGTTATCAGGTTTACTGGAGGATATGGATGAGTTTTGATGGTAGACGTTATATCGAAGCTCGTTATGTATGTAAAATTCGATTTAAACAGATGTCATAGCAAGGATTTTTGTCATGGAAATCTTTGTTTAAAGTGAACATGTACATCAGTATCATGTTGTGAGGCAGTAAAGTCCAGTACTAAATTAGTTATTAAAGTCATTGCATTTTAAACTCACTAATAAGTGAATAAACGGCACAGGTGAGTAGAATTAAGCTTTTTTGAGTATCATCTTTGTGCTGATGTGATATGATAGGTTACCCAAGAATTACTGTTGGTTGAGCCTCTATTTTGACAGGTAATTTCCTCATCTATGAAGTAGGAATAGTACCACTTAATTCTAATAATGTAGAAGTCTGCAGTCTCAGGTTAACTTCACAGAGAAGAGGCTAGCATTTCAGAGAAGTTGCGTAAATTGCCCAAGGTCCAGTGAAGCAATAGCCACATAATCTGAGTTCAGATCCCACACTAATCCCTTTTCTCTCCACTAAACTACAGTGTTCCCCTGATTAAGGGTGGTGACTCATATACTCACTGTCCTCATTATTCTTATTCTCCTGAATCACAAAAGAGAATCAGAAACTAAATAGATTTACACTGATGGTCATGCTCTGAAGTAGAAAGAGAGGATGGTGGAAAGACAGCAAGACTGCACCACTAGAACCACTGACGAAGTGAATCAAATGGAATCTAATATTCTTATTCCCATAACAGGACCTCAAGTGGAAATCTCCCGGGAAATGCATACAACTCACACGGCTTCAGGTCCTCCATAAGTTTTGCTACTCACCTTCACAAAGACGACGCTCCATAAACCAAGGAATCTCACCTCGACACAACAGATAAACACTCCCGCCTAACCAGTACCTAGAGACAAAGAGTCATGTCATGTTGCCATCCGGTGACTGCTGAGCTAAGCAAGAGCTATTGGCTCAAAGCAGACTCACCACTTTTAGGACAAGAAACGATAGGAACAAAAATCCAGCCAGCATCAAGACCATCCATCCATTGCATGGACAGACTTTCCAGGCATGGAACAAGAGTGCAATCAACCCTTTGGCAAATGTATGACAGGGAAGGGTCTTTGAGACCAATGCTTGCGACAGAGTTTGTAGTGTGCACCGATAAGCCAGACCTAGTTCAGGCTGGGACAGCCCTCACTCACCCTTCATCGCAAGAAGAGTTAACATCTGGTCTAATAAACTGATCCTGGGGTTTGATAAAGACTTGTTTTTCTATAGGTTCACACTCTGCCACTAGGAAAAGAGATCTGGATGAGAAATCAACTCAAGGCAATCATAAAACCATAAAACATTTGCATTCAAAGCCTGGCACCTTTGCATTCGGGGGCAGTGGGTGTCCACACCCCGTCAGAAGTACAATGTATGGTTTGTTCTCCCACTAGCACATAGCCAGGGTCACAGCTGTACTTTATGGATGTTCCTGGGTCAAAGCGGACCATGTGTCTATCTTCCTTTTGCCCATTGAGGATTTTAGGAGGGGCTTGGCACCCTAAAGGAAAAGAACAAAAAATTTTCTTATATAAACAACTGAAAGAAAGAGCCGAAGAAATGATCACGAATGCTACAATTCCACTCTGGTGGCAGTTATATGGGGTAGAAGTAATCTGTGCAGCCCAGTTCTGGGTAATTTTAGATCGGTGGTTCTCCATCTTTTTTCTTTTCTGCACTTAGTTCAGTTTCCATTTGGTGCTCTAACTCCTCTCCTGCCTCCTCGTTTCTTAAGGAACAATCTCATAGGTGTTTCCTGGGATATATCTCTGGGGGAGGGGCTTTGCTGACTTTTCTTTAAAAAAGAATTGCTATTGAGACAAACAAGCATTTTTTTCCCTAGAGAAGTGGGCACCTTAGTGATCCTCAGTGGGTTTTTTTTCTCCCAAGGATACTTCCACAGAATGAAGCAATGGTGGGCTGATGATGTTAAGAAAACCTATACAATTTATATTCACTATATCTAGTAGAATTGAGGTGACTAGCAGCTGGAAAAGGCTCTGCTTAAATCTATAACCCCATCTTCTAACTCTTCAAAAGGATGAATCAGTAGCAGCTTTTCTGAGTATTGAAACACCCACCCTTTTCACAGACTGGAGCCAATGGCTCCCATGCACCTTGGCCATTACATCGGATCTCCTTGCTGCCTTTCATGGTGAAGCCAAATGTGCAAGCAAATACCACGGTGTCATTATAGGAATATTGTTCTTTCTGTCCAGATGATATATGGCCTCTTAGGATCTGGGGAGGTGGACACCGAATGGCAGAGCTAGAAAGTTCACACCGTGGGCCAGGACTACTCCAGACTCCAGTCTTCTCACTGTCGGCGGTACAACGGATAGTTTTCTCCCCAATAAGGTTGAAGCTCACTCCTTTCTCTGGGTCTGGGTCACAAGAATATGTGATGATGCTTCCATATGGAATGTTCCCTGAAGGGCTGCCTGTATGTCTTCCATTGAGAATAGAAGGAGGTGGCCCACAAAGAATTTCTAGAGAAATTAGAGAGAAATAATGACAAGACTGCAGCTGTACAGCAAACAAAGAATGCCTCAGATGTTGCTTGATTCTGTGGTCCCATCCATGGTTCTGGGACTGTGATACTTGAATCTGCAATGTATCAATCAGGACACCTACAGCAATATAATTTTAAAAGTAGGATTCAGAACTTTATTCTTGACTATATCTATTAGCATGATCCTTTGATTTCATCTACCGAATATACAATCTCCTTTATATGCCTGGCCTGACTGGCAAGTCTACATAGTTTCCAGAGAAAGAAAAGCCTAGGAGCCCTGTTTTACTTGAGTAGGCAGAGAATCAAGAGAGGGCTGAAGGATGATTCGGTGAAGAACATATCCCTTCAAGAGATCTACCTGAGACCTTTGCTCTAGGAGATTCTGTAGAATCTATGAATGAACCAAAAGCTTTTAGTTAAGCTGAGAATGAGGTGTTCTGTTCAAGGACCAGAGAACTAGCTGCAAACCAGTTTTCTAACATACCTTTGCACACCGGCATCCTCGTCCAAGAAGCACGCTGTCCAGCAATTACACACTGACTAGAACTTTGGCCTTGTAACCGATACCTGGAGACAGAAGGTGGTTATTCAGGACTATTAAGCAGTTGGTGCTGCAGCCCCCACTTAAAACCCAAGACAAATGCACTTAGTTGACATGTGCCAACTCCTTTTATAAGCAGTCTCTCTCACAGGCTCACCATGCGAGGCTGTCCCTGTATCCTCATGGAGGAGCCTTATGCAGGTGACCCAGTCACACTGTGCACACATAAGCCAAATGAATGAGATCTCCCAGGCCCTGCGGACACTCACCCTTCATTACAGTGAAAGTTCACAGTTACACCAACCCGAAGATTTGGAGGGGCGTTTATCTGACCATTGAGAAATGGTCCTGGAGGTTCACACTGTGCCTCTAAGAAAACAAGCCAAAGGTGAGCAAAGCATGGCAAGTAACAGAGTAGCCCAAGCTCTTAAAATTGGTTGCAAATTTAGGTACCTTTACACCTGGGAAGAGCAGCACTCCACCTTCCTGAAGACAAACACCGAATGGTCTTTTCTCCAACAAGCAAGTAACCAGGTTCACAGCTGTAAGTCACAGAGAGTCCTGGGGCAAAGGAGCCAATGATCTTCTCCCCTGTGTGATGTCCATTGGGGATCTTGGGAAGCGATGGACACTCCTGTGGGAAATCTTCACACACACACACACACACACACACACACACACACACACACACATTAGGAAAAAAGGCTGTCAGAGGATACATCCTTCACAGCCTAGACTTCAACTTAGTACATAGATCCAAACACATGACATGAGATCTACGGTAGCCAGTCATCATGAATTCTCAACTCAGTCTTTTCAAGATCAGATGGGTGTGGGTTAAGTGTATGCCTTTTATAACACAAATGGTACTTTATTTTTCATTTGTAGTTACACTTTATGTATTACATTGGCTTTGTGAAAAATTTCAATTACCAAAAGAAGTTCCTTTTCACCCATACTATCCCCATACACTTAGCCTATTCTCTGCTCCAAAAGTAGCATGCTATCATTTAGGGGGTCATCTTCTCAGACATTAGTAATATAGCTTTTGGGGGTCCTATATATGATACATATCTACACACACATATGTATGTATGCGTACTTAATACGTATGTCTCTATGCCTTTTCTTTGCCTCATAATCTGTCTATCTCAATAGATCTATCTAAATCTTTCTAAAGGTTTAATTGTTTTCCATGGTCACCCCATTTTGTGACTATCTTAAGACCTTCCCTACCTCCAAGATTACATACCTACCTACCTATAGATAGATCCATATTTTTCTAATGGACCAACAGCATTTTCAACTCAACTGATTTAGAATTGATCAATACTGTCCTTTATGAAGAAAATAGCTCATTTTGATGGTATAATTTTTGTCAAGTATTGTAGAACTGAGAGTCAGCTTTAGGTTTTGGCAGTGACATAAGCCAAACAAAGTGAAAAGAAAATGAAGAACTTACAGTGGTCCCTATTTTCAAAGTCATTTGATTTGAAATGGAACAGGTTAGTAGGTGACTTGGACAATAGTGGATCACTCCAGAAAAATTCATAAAGACCATAGATAAGGGGGCATCATTTCTGCCAGACTATCCCAACAGCTATGCAAAGATGAGTTTTAATTCATTGGGTGTATCTTGCTAGTAGATGCCACATTTCTTCTCAAAACCATCTAATTCCCACATCCCAACCAACTCTGGCTCCATTCTTGTGAGATTTATTCCACTCAGTTATTAGGTGTATTCACAGTTACTTCTTCCCCTTATTCTTTGCTCTATGGACGGTTGTTGAATGAACATTGATATCCTTCCAGGACTAAGGACAAGCCAGAAACCCTAATTTTCACCGTCTTACCTTCCTTCCACCCCCACCATTCGCATGTCCATACTGTTCTTCCTTCAGAATTAAAACTTGATCTGCACAGAAACGCAAGGCTCCAGCCTCCCCACTTAGCATTGTGTTGGGTGTTACTTACCACTCTCGCAGATGGGTAGTGGTGTCGGCCCCCAGGTTTTATTTGCTCGGCACCAAACGGATTTGTTTCCTTTCATGGTGAAGTTGGTATTACAGGTAAATGTCACAGAATCACCATGTCTGTATGGTGGTCTAGATTTTCTATCTCTGTATCCCCCTGGTACTATGGGTTCAGAGCACAAAGCATGTTTATTATAATATTCACATACAGGGGCAGCTTTATTCCAGATTGCCTTCACTTGGTCATTACTTATACAAAAAATGATTCTTTCTCCAATGAGGCGGAATTTACCATCACAGGTGTACTTTATCATAGTGTTAAGAGGTATGGGACCAGAAGAATAACTACTCCGACCATTTTTGATAGGAGGAGGAGGGTCACAAAAAATTCCTGAAAAAGTAGACAAGGAAATATATGGTCATACTGATCCTGACAATGAAAAGATCTAAATGTAGATAAAAGGTCCAAATACAGGGCATGTCATTTTTTTCAGAAACATATTTGTATAATTTCTTTCTTACACATAATATGTGCTTATCCCTAACCTCATAAGTTCTTACCTTTCTCCTGATCTGCAGCAAACAAATCAACTGGTCTAGGAGTACCATCCTGACCAAACAGTAGCAATGAAACAGAATGTATTGAATAGTTCTGAACCTCAACAATTTTAATAGTGAAATAAATGGCAAACAGCACATGAAAATAATCTTAATCACATTTCAGGAGGCACCATGAACTAATGAAATTTGGCCTCAATAGACCTGGCTTCAAATCCCCACTGTCAATAGTTGTGTGACCTTAGGCAAGTCTTAACCTCTCTAAACCTCAATTTCTGACTTTATAGTATAATTCAAGCTCCTTCATAAGGTTACAAGAAGAATCCAGTGAGATAAAAGTACCTAAAAATGGCAAGCACAATAGCTGCAACATACTAATAATTCAATGCCCATTTCAAACACGCAAGTGGGGCCACAAGTGGTGAGAACACATTCCGTTTTGCTAGTGAAGGTACTGCACGCTCACCACAGATCATTTGTCATATTTTGATGCTGGACTCCTTTGAAAAAGCCACAGAAAGTGATCAGAGGTTTGGAATAATGACCCCATATCCTTTATTTACTTGTCCTAATGCACACGAAGGGTATGGATTGTTTATAGCTGTGTTGATATACACACACCTTTCCTGAATGAGTCTCAGAATGAAGGGAAAATTGCCACCCCCCATCACTTATGGCTGATTTCCATTTAGCTCCCAAGAGTTGCTCATCTGTAGAAGAACTGACGTAAGAAGACACAGCCAAACCATTTCAGCACATCAGTGCTACTCAGTTTCAATAGGGGGAACTTTCAAATCATTTGTCTTTATACATATAGAACACCTAATACAATATGTAGTCAAATAAATTTGGCTTTGGTCTGTCTTCTAGAACATAGAGAAGGCTGGCAAACACACATTCAGAGCACACGTATGAAGAGGTTATAATTGATAAATACATGGGAATACACCAAAACTCAAGGGGCAAGATCCAAACTTGATTATTTTTGTTTTCTACTCACGTTCACAGACAGGAAACTTATTATTCCAGAGTACTCTCATTCCTTCTGAGACACACTGACTAGAAGATGGGCCATTTAATCGGTACCTTAAACAATAAGGGGTAGCAAATCATCACCAGAACAAATCAGTTCTCGGCTGCCTGGAATTAATCACTTGTCTCAAGTATGTGCTATTAAGGGCCTCTTTTTTAAAAATCATGTCTGACTTAAGGGAAAAGTCCATGTTTGTGAATCAGCTCAGCTATGTGATGACTTCAGACCAGGTAAAAACACAGAGGGGAAAAAATTCCTAACAATCATATTTTCTTTTTGAATTCCCCCTTTCCTCTTTGGCATCCAAATGTCAAGATTCTCTTTACCATTTACAAGGACAAAACCTCAGTTCTTAGCGAAGAAAATGTCAAAGACCTTGTTCCCTAAGATCACACCAAAGAACCCCTCTTGGTGAAATCCCCTTATTCTCCATAATAGGAGCCTTAATTTCTGACCCTAAATTTTGCTTTTTCAAATGATGAAAGGACAATTTCTAGCTCTCTCTGGCTATGCACAATATATACAGTTGGAGAAAAATCAACAATATTGGCTTAATAATGGAATTATTAGTCACATAAGATAAAGAAAATAAGAGAAAAATCAGAAAGAACAAAAAAATTTTTAACCTTCTTTAGAGATCATTCTTTGCGATGCTTAGCTACATATCATAAGCTCAATTCAGGCCCTCTCACCTCACACTCACCCCTTATCACAAGCAAATGAAACCTCTGCCCCAAGCTTGAGATTAGGAGGGACCACCACACGGCCATTGAGAAGTTGGTTTGGAATGGCATCACATGATTTTGCTAGGGAAAAAGAGACAAGGTTGGCACATGAAGAGCCAGGAAACAGTTGAGCTTCCTGAAGATGGAATAGAGATTTAGGCACCTTCACAATCAGGGGCTGTATGGCTCCAGGTTCCCAAGGATGTACACTGAATAGGGTTAGTTCCAATGAGGGTGTAGCCAGGGTCACAGCTGTAAGACACTTCCTGTCCAATTGAAAAGAACTCCTTATCCAAGATGGTATAACTACCATGGTTGATAGGTGGAGGTGGTAGACACCCTGAGAAAAGAACAGGACCAGAGGCCTTTTATTCCTGAAATAAGATCTTTCTCCTCTACAACCTAAACCAACTTGGGGTTTGCAAGGGTGGAATGAAGGTGGTCATGTCAGCTCTCCTAAGTACAAGGCAGAGATTCCTTTGGGTGAGGTGGAGGTGGAGTGGAACTAACATGCATTACTTTTTTAGATAAGATGAACCATGAAACTAGTTGCTTTCCTGATCTTGATCAATGCTGGAAAACATTACAGCCACTCATCATTTTCCATTTTATTTAACTAAAAAACGGTCGCAGATATTCTCTCATTAATACTGTTGCCAAGGGAACCTTACTATTGTCGTACATTTTTACTACCAAAATCCACCTATTTCTTTCTGCTGTCCCCAAACCAGGTTGATGAAGTTCCTAAGCCTCGTGGGAGGGGCTCCCACATATTGTCAGGTTTCTAGTAAGTCAGACATTTCTTAATAAGAGTAGGGGAGAAAGGCATAATGGGGAAATGACTCAATCTTAATTCTAGCCTTATTCCATAAAGGCCACATTTTTCAATATGAGCATGTATAATGTCTACAGTATTTTGAATCAAATTCTGACAGCCAATTTCCTCTATTGACATGATCAATAGGATTGAGAGTTTATTTTATCCTCATTTAAATAAAATCAAATCATATATGTTCTGGAAAAAAAATCTCTGATCATTGGTGCTGCTTTTCTTTGCTTTTCAAAGTGTCTTCTAATTTTCTCTACATTAATGCACATCTCATGCTATCCCAGAATATAGTAAATTTCCTACTTCTTCAACATTTAGATATTACTTTCAAAGTATACCTTCAAATTCTTTAACCAGGATACCCAACTACATATACTATCTTTCCCCTTCTCTTCTCATAGGTACCACGTATCTATTTCTCTAAAAGTTTCATTTTGTTTCTAGATCCCCAGAGTTTCAGCCCAACTCACCCTTAAAGCACCTTGGCAGTGGTGGATTCCATTTGCTGTTTGCTTGGCACCATACTATGTTGCTGCCTTTCATGGTAAAGCCAGGCTTACACCTAAACATCACAGTATCATTTAAAGAAAATGAACGTCCAAATCCAGATTCCATAATTCCGTTTTCAACTTCTGGAATTGGGCAATTGACTAAAGTAATACACTGAGGGGGTGGGCCACTCCAGATGCCAACTCGATTGTCTTTGCTGGTACAATATATGGACTTCTCACCCACGAGGTCAAACAACTTTTTTCCATTCTGTCCAACGTGGCACTTATAAGTCACCACCATTCCATAGTAAAAGTCCTCTTTACTGCTGCTGTAAAAATTCCCATTGGAGATGGATGGGGGTGGTGCACAAGGAATAGCTTTTGGGTGGTAGGTGGGAAAAAAGAGAAGGCATTTAAATGTTATACCTTCTTGGAATCTTGTCTTCACTCTTGCAAACCAAACTTCAATTCAGCCAACAATTAACCCAGATTGTTGAAATTCTATATCCTCATCTCAAAGATGATTCTAAATAGGAAGTAGCAAAGTAGGAACATTCATGGAACTGGCCTGAAGATAACTTAAAAACAACAACAACAACAACAACTATGATCTGGTCACCAGTCACCCCTTTCACCCCAAAGTAAGATCAACTGTTCCGGGAAACACCCAGGATGGCTGACATTCTGCATAGAATAAAGACAGCAGTGTGTAATCTCATAGTGTATTTTAGATTTGAGCACTTACTCACTATGAAATAACTTATCCTCTAAGAACAATAATCAAAGGAATGTGTGGTGTGATTGGGAGACATGGAAGAAGATAAACCATGGTTCTGTGCCCAGAGCTACCCAAACCAAGTGGAACTCTCCTGGGTACTCATTCTGATGTGTAGATGCCCAATTTCCCTCTCGAAGGGGACAAGAGGAACTGCATAGGGTATGATAAATGGATCATTTTACTCACATTCACAAAAAGGCAAGTCCTTATCCCAGGTTACAATATTGTCTGAGATAATACATGTAGCAGATGAATCACCAATGAGTCGATATCTAAAGACAAAGAGATGAGTGATCATCTCCCAGCTAGATGTACCTTTTAGGAAAGCTTAGTTCTTCCTCTACTGAAATAATGGCAAAGAATAGATTATCATGTAAGACAAGTAGTGGTGATGAACTAAGGACTCATACAAAAAATTCAACAATCTACAGCCAAGTGAAATTTGGCTCCTGGTTAGTAATGCTGGAGATTTAAAATGGGAAGAAGAGTAGCCCAAATCTCTTTCTCTTCCTGTGGGTAATCTTGAAGCATTGTCTCTGGAGCAGATCAGGGTGGCAATTCTCTTTTTGCTTGTCTATTTTTAAGGCTAAGTGGCAATTACTTGGATCTCTTTTAGAAAACTGATGGTTTATGGTTGAAACCACTGTTCTAATGTCCATATATTCTGGTGATGTCTCCTGCCAACTCACCCCTTCTCACAAGAAAATGTAATTCTTGACCCAAACAGGACACCCGTGGGCATGAGGACAGAGCCATGGAGGAGTTCTCCAGGACTCCCACATGATTTACCTATAATGGAAAACAGAACAGAATTTGGGACTGGAATTTGGGGGATGTTCTGCATTTGACAGTAGGTACCTACCCAACTGGACTTGCCAACTAGCCACTTATACTCATTCAAAGAGATTTTTGACATTTACATAACTTCTATCCTCCAAAGGATCAGTCAACTCCAGAACACTATTTGTTTAAAGCATGCCCTCTATTTCTGAGCATGGATGCAAACACTATTTGTGGTCAACCATAATTTATAATCTCTATTTCCCCTTTTTATATTCTGTCAGTTGATGGCATCATCTACCAAGTCTGTGGCTTTGAAAAACCTCATAGTCATCATTTCCTTTCTGTAACTCATCCGCTACCCACTGTTCTTCATTCAACTGGTTACCAAATTTTAGTGACTAGATTCCAGAAGTCTCTCTCCAAATCAACTATTTAGTTGTTGCTGTAATCTCTCATTGGATCACTGAGTAACAAAATATACCTTTCTATCTTTGGTATCCATTGGTCTAGCACATCTTCTATAGCACTGCACACAGGATTTTTCAGAAGCACAAATGTGGCCATGCCCCTCCTCACACTGAAAGACTTACAATGGCTTACCACTGTTTATTGGGGAAAAAAATGCATGGCCCATCACAATTAAGCTTCAATCCACTTAATTAACTATCATTCCCCACTATGTACCTTATACTCCAGCCACATTGAATTTTTCTGTTTTCCAAAGACCTCCTGTTCTTTTACAGCTCTATGCTTTTGAATATGCTATTTCCTCTGCCTATGATGCCTAGACTTCCCTAATTCTCCAAGACAGTATTCATTATTTGCTTCCCTACAAAGCTTTATATCTATAAATAAATTACATCATAGTACAGCATGATGTACTTATTTAAAAGTCAATCTTTACAGCTAGTATAAGAGCTCCTCAAAGACAAAGATTAGCTAAGTTTTATGTGTATCCCCAGCCCCATCATCTAGCCTAATGCATCACACCTAATGGTTACTAAAAATATTTCTTGAATTGAATGGGATAAGAATGAGGTGACACAAGTGTTCCTTGTGCACTAACTTCTAAGCTCACTTAACGCAGTATAGAGACCATAGAATCAAGTTGTGGAGATTACAGAATAAACAGGGCTGGCCAGCTGTGATGATTTAATCCCTATATCCAATATTCTTAGGAGCAAAAGAAACATGGAGAACCCAGGAATCCCCTTCATTTGAAATCATTTAGTAATTTGCTGGGCTTTCACCTTGAAAATAATAGTTTACTCATAGATACACTGATGGACCCGAAGATGCCTCTATTACTCACGTTTACACAATTGCTGAGGATCTGACCAATTGGAGGTCTTTAGGCAGATGATTGAGAATGACATCTTTCTATACCCAGGAAGGCATTCATATTCCCAAGATGTCCCAACAGCAAACTCAGACTGATCACTCTGAATTTTAGGTTTAGCAAAATCATACCTTGGCAGGAATTTACACTGACCTAGAGACAAAGACCACAGGAATGTCAAAACTAGGAAAAGCTAACACTTCCACTCTGCTTCTTTTTGTCACCAACTATCCTGACAACTTTGATCTTTAGGAAGTAAACCTAAAATAGGGCAACATTTTCTGGGACAAAGAACAAACCTTGCAGTATGGGTGCATGTACAGAGATATAAGCTCAGAAGTTCAAAGACTTTTTAGGATGGACGAAGAGGAAGAGCTCAAGAAAGTAAATTTTTACAAAATTCCATAAAGACCCTGGAGTTGTTTCATCTTCTTACAGACTCATTAAAAAAAACTAAAGCCTTATAAATAATAAGAACTTTTCTGGGATAGCACGGGGAACGAAAGTACATTAGAGACCTTGTAAGCTCAGCCCATGTATGATCTTCTAAAATTACTTTGATGAATTAACATTACTCTGTTAACCATTAAACCTTTAGATCCTAGCAAGATGAAAATGTTTGTTAATTCTTCATTATTTTATTCCATTAACCTAATAGTGTAATATGTCCTATAAGATATCACAATAAATACTTCTGATGGGTACTAGATAAAAGGAACTAGTCATTTTGAAATAGTTTCCTGTGATTTAAAATAGTATGATGATGATGATGATGATGATGATGATTAATGAAACAAATATTATCATAGGAGATGGTAAGAAACTGTAACACCCATATATTTGAGGATGTATCTGGAAAAGTCATTTTTCTAGGTATGAAAGAGAGTTCAAGTTTCGATGTTGGAATGGCAGTATATTTGAATATCAAGTTTATAAATCTCTTTCAAACAAGTTTGAGTCAGGTACAGCTGCAAGTCAAAGAACAAACATGAACTAAATGACACAAAGGCAAACATAGAGTTCCCAAGGTTGCAGCCTTTCTGTAGCCGGACACCTCTGTTAGAGAAGTCATAGACAGGATCTAAGAATAGTCATCACTTTAGGACCCAGATCACTGTAGGTCTTCTAGTTCTCTCAACTCCTTTGCGTTTCTTCATTAACCCCCACAAATATCTCCGAGTGCATACCTGTGCAAACGAGCAAGACTCTATAGGGAAAGTAAAGGTTTGACTTCAACAAACACCAGTTTCATAATCCTGGTATTGCTTGTACCAAGTCATCCTAGTCAAGTGATTGAATTTATAATTACATAATGTGAATAAAGGCAATACCAAATAATTCTCTACCAGCTAGAAAGTTCATTTAAAGTTGTAATAATCAGTAGCAATGCCATGGACCAAAATGGAACTGAGAGACTTAAAAGCTGCAAGAGCAGAATATTTTATAACACGATCTTCTGAGGTGAAAGGAGAGAAGGATCATACTTTCTGGGTTAGAAATAATGAGAAAAATCTTATCCCCAATAAGAAGGCTTGAGGAACCTGTCTCTTTTGGGGGACAAGAGTTCTTATTTGTAGTGAATTGCCAAACGTCTGGGTCACAAAAAGAATTTCCATCAATCATCGTCTCTTCCATATCAGAAAAAAAGGTTAGTCCATGAGCCATTAGGTAAGAAGACTTTTCTTAAGGGTCACTGTGTCCTCTTTACATCTTTCTATAATCAGGAGGCAAAAATCAGAGTAGATCGTGACTGGATCTAAAATAGAGGATAGTAGTAAGACACCAACATATTCATTCTTTAAACAGTTTAAAAACTAAAGAGACAAAGCAGCTTCTGGAGAGCAAGGATACATTTAACTCTTTGTTTGGGTCCAAGGGGCTTTACCTAGAATTGCTTAGAAATCCATTTGAAAGGAATGAAGAACATATATATATATAAGGTAATAAAAGTAAAATGGAAAATTAGGTCGAAGGCAGGTAGGAAAAATTTTTATTGAGAATGACCATGACCATGATCGGAGTCAAAATCAAGAGTCAGACGCGTAACCAACTGAGCCACTCAGGCACCTGTGATCATTTCTGAATGACAGTTATGCATATTAGCCAATGTACTGTCCCAAACACAGGAGACACACCAGTGAACATTAGAAACAAGGTTCCCATCCTTGCCGAATTTATATTCCAATAGAGGGGGACAGACAGATAGGTAATACCAGTAAATAAATGGTATATAAAGGAAATAAATGGAGTGAGGGTCAAAATGTAATGTGCCAGAAGGAGGAGAGGACAGAGAGGCATAGGACTTCAACTGTGGTGGTTTAGGAAGCCCTATGAAGAGGAGACATTTGAGTTGTGACTGGAGGAGGAGCCAGCCAGGTAAAGCACAGAGTAAACGCATTTTAGGTAGAGGTCTCACAGCAGGGATGGATTTGCTATACTTTAGGGATAGACAGAAGGCAAGTATGGCTCAAATGTAGTGATCACAGCAGAGTGCTAGGAAATCAAGTTAGAAAGTTCAACAGGAGGGCTCGTATTAGGCTTCTTAGGCCATAGTAAGAAGTCTCGATGCTCTCCTGAGTGGAAGTTACCAGAGAGTTCAAGCAGCAGAGTCCCGTGACCTGATTTACCTTTTAGAAAGAATAGCCTAACAAGTGAGTGGAGAATGGACTGTATTTTTATTTTTAGAAGTAGGAGGTGCAATCTGGAGGCTATTACAGTAGTTCAGACTAGAAAGAAAAAAGGCTTGGGCAGTGAGAAGTGGATAACTTTGGAATATATTTCAGAAGTAGAATTTAGAACAAAAACTTTCTGTTGCATTAGATGTGGGGGGGGGGGGGTGAAGAAATAGCAGGATTCAGTAATGTCTTCTAGGCTACTTGTAGTGACCTGAGCGACTTGGTTGATGGTAAGACCATGTACTAAGATGGGAAGATAAGAAAGCACCAGTGTGTGTGTGTGTGTGTGTGTGTGTGTGCGCGCGCGCGTGTGTGCAAGCACACAATTGCGTGACTGTGTGTAGAGTTGGTTCCATGTTAGTCTTAGTATATTTCACATACTTACTGGGCAGCCAGATGGAGATGCAAAAGGGCAGTTGGATATACAAACTTTCTACTCAGGAGAGAGTTCGAGACTACAGATAATAAATGAGCCATCAACATATAAATAGTAGTTAAAGCCATGAGGCTAGAGGAGATCTCTTAGGAAAAAGGAATAGAGAAAACCAGGAGGCTCATGGCTTGTGGGGCAAGGAGCCTGGAGTGGGTGAAGGAGATAAAGAGATGTGAGCAAACAGTCCATGAGAAGTTTTGCTGAGAAGGCTGAGAAGAGGACCAGGAAAAGGGAGTTTCCCTGGGCCACGAGAAGTCCCCTGATCACCCCAGTGAAGAATGCCCTCGAGCATATTTAACTGCTGGTGGGGACAATCCAAAAGGGAGATACAAATAGGTGATACCAGATGGGGCATCTGGAGAAGTCAAGTCCTTGCACAGGCAAGAGGGGATGGAATGCAACCATAATTCTGAAGGGGGAATGGACTGTTGTCAGGAGAAAGGATACTTTTTCCATTGTTACAGGAGGAAAAAGAACATTCTTACTGAACTCCTTGTTATGTGCTAGTGTGAGGGATTCACCAGGAAGTAAGAGAGATAAAGACTTTTTTTTTTCATGGACTTGTATTTCAACGAGAGAACAAACAACGCAGTGAAAAAATAAATAAGAAGTTTTCATAGGATGATAGATAGGCGCTCTGTGGAAAATAGAACATGGTTGTGTGACAGAGCGTGTCCTGGGGTACAGACTACTTCCGATGAGAGTCAGAGAAGGGTGACGATGGAGCGGAGACCTGAATGTTGAAGAGACAGGCAACAGATGATATGTGGGGAGAGCATCTCAACAGAGGGAGCCCCTAGTGTTAAAGCTAAACAAACGTGACTGTGTTTAAGGAACAAAAAGAGGGTCAGTGTGGCCGGAACAGAGGGAGTGAGGGAGGAGAATAGAGGATTTCAGAGACAGACAGAGATCTATAGTCAAGGTTAAAGAGCATGGATTTGTTCAATGTGATTGGAAGCCCTTGGCGGGTTGCAAGCAGGGCAAAGAATCTGATCTCAGATGGAGGTAGATGATGGGTAAATAAGGGAATTCCTATTTAATGATTTAATGATTTTGTTTTCTAAGTTGTCGGTCTAGGCAAGAGTGAAATTTAAGAGTGCAGGAAATTAGAATTGGTTTATGCAAATAGACAAAAAAGAGAAAAATGGAAAACACTCTCAGAAGGGAATTCGCTCCACATATGACTTTGCTCATAGCAGTGCACTCTATAGACATTTGCTTCAGAATTTTCCAGAGCAATTGTTAAACGCAGCTTCCTGGGTCATACCCCAAACCTATGAATCTCTGAAGAATGAGATGGAACCCAGGAACCTGAATTTTTAAAAGGCACTTCAATTCCTCAAAACATTAAAAATAGAACTACCATATAATCCAGCATTCCACCTTCGGGAATATATCAAAGGAAATGAAAACACAAACTCAAAAAGATCTGCATCCCCATGTTCACTGCAGCATTATTTACAATAGCCAAGACATGGAAACCACTTAAGTATCTATCAATAGGTGAATGGATTAAGAAGTTGTGGCATATATATATATACACACAATAGATATTATTCAGCCATTAAAAATGACTAAATCTTACCATTTGTGACAACATGGATGGACCTATTACACCTATAGTGGTAATCATTTCACCGTATCTGTAAGTGAAATCATCATGCAATATACCTTAAACTTATACAGTGATGTAGGCCAATTATTTCTCAACAAAACTGGAAAAATTGCTAAATTTTATAAAAGGCACCTCAAGAGTTTCTCAAGCATGCTCAAGGTCAGGAACTGGCCAGGAGCTAAGGAACAGTCTGGGGAATGTACACAGTAGAAGCAAAATTCAGGAGGGGTGTGTGGGCAAAGCACCAGCAAAGGACCATGGGGGGTGGGGCAGTCAGGCAACAGAATGAACAGCAGAAGCAACAGGGAATCCGGAGGGGCATGTTTAGATGAGATCCACTGACAAAAACTTGAAAGGCTGAAGATGTTAGACTTTTTTTTTAATCCCATAGGCAGTGAGCAAAGGAGTGGAGTAATGAAAAAATATATATATATATATTTTTAAATGTTGGTTGTCACGATTGGAAAGTTGAAGGCAGGTATCAGAGTAACCTGTAAGGGAGGAGGTTGTTACATAGGTAATCATAATGCTTAGGATTAGAATATTGCTGTGCGAGGGCTAAGACAAACAACAGAAGCACATTAATTGCAACAGTCGACAGGTAGGCCTGATGGTTCATGCGTCTGCAGTCAAGTAGCCAGAGGATGGTGGCACTCAGGTGCTGGGAGGGGCGGGGGGGGGGGGCTAACATACTTAGAAGGGATGCTGAGCTGGCAGGGCTAGTTAAGAACCTGCTTTTCAATTGATAATATGCTCTCTAAAATTCAGTCAGAGGAACAGAGTACCAATGACAAGTCAGGTCTGGAACTGTACCGTGCAGCAGTCTCAGACAAAGTTGTGAACGTGCACTTGGGAGTTCATGCATAGGAAAGAGAGATGAAGATGTTGGTGTGGGGGAAATGTTCAAGTAAGGGTCCGGAGAAAGCTGAATATCAGGAAGCAAAGTAAGCTGTAAAAGAACCAATGTATGAAGTATGCCTTAGCAAGTGGTGGCGGGGGGGGGGGGGGGGGGGGGAGGGTGATCGGAAATTACACTTAAATGCTGGCTCCATAAAACCGGTTCTACACACTAGTCTTATGACTGATAGTTAGTAGTAATGAGTAACACCTAACCTTCATTTGCCTAATTTCATCTCCTGCTCAGGGCAGCTCCGTAAGGCGGTAGAGCAGCTTACCACTAGCTTCATTTTACAGATGAAGAAACTGAGGGTCAGGGAGCTAAAAGACTTGCCAAAGGTCACCCAGTTATTGAAGTGTGCAGACAGTAAACTTTTAACTAAACATCTCACTCTACCCTGGGGATAATTAGAAAGTTAGACCCACGTTGTCGCCAAGAGGTTCTAATCTTAACAAATTACTGTACTTCTCTAAAATTAAGCCAATCGTGGGTGGGGGGAGTAAAAATAAGCGTGGAATGAGACCTTCTGGAGCCCTTGCCATTACAGAAGGTAAATAACGCGAAGACTGTAGTTTTAATTCACATACCAACTTTTCTCCAATAGCTCTGGGTGTTTATCATTTTTGGATCTCTTTACCAGCATCGCATCCGAAGTTCATACAATAGGGGAGAACCATGCCTGGGAACCAGACAGTATTCTTACTCTGGGAGGGCAGCACGCTTGGCCCCTAGGGTGTGGTTACATGGCCAGCGTTGTTAGAGCTTGCAGACCTCAGGCGACAGCGGGGAGCATCTGCTGAGTCCCAGGGGCAGGGAAGCCCAGGCAGCGCAGGGCGCGTGGTGCCAGCCCCAGGAGGAGAGAGTGAGCACATCTAGGACCAGGAGATCCTAGGGGTCCCCCAAAGCGAGCGGGAGGCAGTCAAGCGTCCGGCACTGACCCCACCTTCTCACTTGACTCTGTTTTGCATCCCGCACAGAGGCGTCCCTGCCCCAGACGCGTCCCCACCTCCACGCTCCCCCTCCCAGCTCACCGAGGACCCCTGGCGTGACGAGTGCCAAGAAAACGCAGAGCAGGCCCGCAGCGCCCATGCCCCGGCCGGCAGCCCCAGCGGCGGGATGCGTTCCGAGGTGCTCGAGCCTCCTGCACGACTCCGAGAGAACGCGGCTGAAGCAACAGGCATCTGCAAGCGAGGACTGGGGGACCCTTAAATAGAATCTGGCGCCACGTGCTAGTCCTGCCCGCACACCTGCAGGCTGCCGGGGGCGGGACGCCAGCGCCTGTGAGGTTGGCCCCAGCTGCTAGGCGCCCGCCAGAGGAGCCGACGGGGGGCAGGGGGGCAGAGGGGCGGAGCAACTGTGACCGGGGCTTTGGCTCTGGCTCTAGCCCTCAGCGTTGTGGCTTTCCAACATTTTCTACCCTGCAACGCAAGCATCCACTTTTGTCTTTCTGGAGGAATGAAACAAGTTTCACAAAATAGTACTCATTCTTACTAATCTGTAATGCTCTATCCCATCCCATCCCATCCTAAAATTCTGGTTTGGCTCCACTAAAATAATTTCAAAAGCTATTAATGTTTCAGATCCTCTGTTTAAAAATCAGTTTACTTAGAAAGGAAATTTACAAACAGCAGTCTCCTCTGCTCTTATGCCCTTTTTATTTTGAAGCAATTTCTACAGAAAGGTTTGAGAACAGCACAAAGAATTCCCATATACCCATCGTCCAGATCATCCACTGTTAACACTGCACTATATTTTCTTTATTATTCTCTCTATAGATAGATAGGTGACATATAGGTGTAATTATATATAGATAGATCGATCTAGATACATACACATATACATATATATGATTATATAATTATAATTATAGAATTGTTACTTTGGAACTGAGGTAAGATACAGGTATGATACCCCTGCTCTAAATACTCGGTGTTCATTTTTCCTAAAAGCAAGGATTCTCTTGCATAACTAAATGCACAAAAACAGGAAATAAACATTGAAATATCTAAGCAACAGGCTATACTACTACTCATCTCAGTAGTCTTTATTATTGCAATCTCTCTCTCCCACTCTTTCATTTTTTTCCGGTCCAGAATCATTCAAGGTTCACACATTACATTTGATTGTTAGGTCTTCTGTTTCCCCTTATTTATCTGGAAAAGATTCTCAGCCCTTTTTATGTCTTTCATGGCCTTGACATTTTTGAAGAGTACACAGCAAGCAAGTATTTTTGTAGAATGATTTTTATATTGGTTGGCTATTGCACAATAACAAATTACCCTATGCGCACTGGTTTAAAGCAAGGATAAACATTTAGTATCTCACACAGTTTCTGGGTGTCAGGAATCCAAGAACAGCTTAGCTAAGTGGTTCTGGCTCAGGCCATCTTGAGGCTTCAGTCCAAGTATCAGCCAGAACTGCAGTGTGAAGGCTGGACTCATCCACAATATATTACCGTATTAAAAGTTTTGGAATTGCTAATCCCCATATCATGGTGGAAAGCAAACCTACTAGTTTTTAAGATTTTTGTTTTGCTGTTAGCCTGGGAGCATAAAAATAACATTGCTCTGTTCAAAAGTTACTTTGATTAACTATCACACCCCATCCCCACTGACTTCAGTGTGGTGATGTTATGTAGGTAGATTTATCTGTTCTCTTTGGATTTCATCTTAGCTTTTCCTCATCTTTTTTTTTTAAATGTCTGAATAATTTTTTTAATTAAAAAATGTTTATTTATTTATTTTGGAAGAGAGAGAGGGGAGAGTATGTACATATGAGGGGTGGGAGGGGAGAGAGACAGAGAGAGAGAGAATCCCAAGCAGGCTCCATGCTTTTAGCTGTGTTAGCAGGGCTCAATCCCATGAAACATGAAATTATAACCTGAGCCTAAATCAAGAGTCGGACACTCAAGCAACCGACCCACCCAGGTGCCCCTTAAGTCTTCTTTATTTAAATTCCAGTTAGTTGATAGACAGTGTAATATTAGTTTCAGATGTACAATATAGTGATTCAACACTTACATATAAGATCTAGTACTCATCACAACAAGTGCCCTCCTTAATCCCCAACACCTGTTTCTCCTATCCCCCCACCCACCTCCCATCTGGTAATCCATCAGTTTGTTCTCTATAGTTGAGTCTATTTCTTGGTTTGCCTCTCTCTCCTTTTTTCCCCCTTTGCTCATTTGGTTTCTTAAATTCCATATGAGTGAAATCCTATGGTATTTGTCTTTCTCCAACTGACTTACTTCACTTAGCATAATATTCCCTAGCCCATACCTTTTTCCTTTTAATTTTTGCATAGGTGAAGCATTACCATAGTTCCAAGTGTCAGAACTATGTAAAAAGACCTGATCAGAGAAATTTCACTTCTGTCCATCACTTCTATTCCCACCTCTTTCCTTTCTACTCCATTTCCACCCGTACTTTGTAGGTACCCAATTTCAATTTTAATAGTTTCTGACTTATCTGTCTTCCTCACTTTGCCCAAATAAGATTCATGTGTGTCTTCTTATTTATGTTTCCTTTTTTAAAGGATTTTTAAAAAGTGTAGTTATTTTGAGGGAGAGAAAGCACAAGCAGGGGAGGAACAGAGAGAGAGAGGGAGAGAGAAAGAATCCCAAGCAGACCCTGATTTGTCAGTGTGGAGCCTGATGCAGGATTCAAACTCATGAATGGTGAGATCATGATCTGAGCTGAAATCAAGAGTTGGACATTTAACCAACTGAGCCACCCAGGTGCCCCGTCCTTCTTATTTTTTTTAATGTTTATTTATTTTGAGAGAGAGAGAGTGGAGGAGGGACAGAGAGAGAGGAGAAAGAGAATCCTAACCAGGCTCTGCGTTGAGAGTGCGGAACCTGATGCGGGGCTCAATCCCGTGAACTGTGAGATCATAACCTGAGTCAAAAACAAGTCAGTCGCTCAACCAACTGAGCCATCCAGGTGCCTCTATCTTTCTTTATTACATAAAAAGAAAGCATGTTATGGGCACTTTTTTGCACTTTGCTTTATTCTTTTTACTTAACAGATATGCTGGGATTCATCCCATATAAGTTAAGAGATATTCCTCATTTGTTTACATTCTGGAGTACCTCATTATGTGGATGTACATAATTTATGTAACCATTTTCCTGTATATGGACATTTAGGTTGTATTTAATATTTTACATTTCTATGCAGTACCATAAAGAATAACTTTGTGGATTTTTTTTTTATTGTTGAAAGTGTATATTCAATGCATATTCCTAGAAGTGAGAGTCTTGATTTAAAAGGTAAATACAGGGGCAGCTGGATGTCTCAGTCATTTAAGCATCAGACTATTGGTTTCAGCTCAGGTCATGATCTCACAATTTCATGAGTTCAAATCCTGCACTGGGCTCAGTGCTGTCCAGTGCTTGGAATTCTGCCTCCCTCTCTCTCTCTGCCCCTCCTCAAATTGTGCTGTCTCTGTCTCTCTCAAAATAAGTAAATACATTTAAAAAATGAAAGATAGAAGCATATTTAGTTCTATAACATATAACTAAATTCCCTCATTAAGAGTTGTGTCAATTTACTTTCCTACCTGGAATGTCTGGGAGTGCCTCTTTTCACTGAGTCTCATTAATCAAATGTGTTATTACAGTTTTTAATTTTAGCCAATCTAATTGGCAAGATATTGTGCCTCTGAGTCCTTTTAATGTGCATTTCTTTTATTATGGATGAGCTGGGACCTATCTTGATCGGTTTTAATAGCCATTTTAAAAAATTCTTTTGTAAATTCTCTGTACGTGTTTTCATTTTTTATCCTTTTGCCAAAGAGTTTCTCCCAGGTAGTTAACTTTTGAGTATCTTTTAGTTTTTTTGTTTTGTTTTGATTATTTGTTTTAAGGTTGAACAGGGTGAGGCTGAGCCAGCCTTTCAGGAAGAAGCTTCTAGCTGACATGGATCCACTTGAATTTACATCCTTGAGAAAGCCAATAGCCATGCTTCTCAACTGCAAGTCTTCATCCTGTCCATGGAAATAGTGCAGGGAACTTTGTGAAAACTTTGCTAAAACCTAGTCAGGCACTGTATTTGCTCTTGTTCATCCTTTTGAGTATTGTTATCCCCTAATTCAAAGCTGTGTGGTCTTAAGCAATTGCCCAATTGCCTCATCTTCTTTCTATTTTTCATTTCTGGTGGGGGCAGGGGAAGCTCTGTTGCACGTGGCTGAGTTAGTCATGCTCCTTAGCAACACTGGTCCCTGAAAGACCCCCATTTGTTTGATTAAGTTGATTATTCCTTCGATTAATCAGAATAGGGCCAGGACGATGCTGCAGGAATAAACAACCCAAATTCCAGAAGCTGAAAATAACAAAAGTTAACTTCTCACTAAAACTACCCATCCAGTACTGATGCATGGGTTTGGGGGGGCGGGGGGCTCAACTCCTTGTATTCTCATAGAGATCCAGGCTGATAGAAGTTTCTTCTTAACTTGTGCTTTCACGGACATTTTCAGCAGGAGACTAGAGCACTGGATGATCTCCCACCAGAAATTAAATAAGTGTTCTGCTCACACCCCTTCAAACAGAACTAATCCCATGACCTTGCCCAACTACAGAGTGGAGGTGGGCAGGGAAGCACAATCCTCTCATGTGCTTGGGAAGAAAGGAGAACAGCCTACAGGTGAGCCCTGGAAGGCTCTATGACATTTGCTTTTATCTCCCTTCTTCACTCCTCACCTCTTCTCCCTCTCCATAAATAGCCATTTTAATGTGTTTGATGTGTATCTTTCTATTTCCATAGGCTCTTACAAAATGTATAGTTGTTATGCGTATCTGCTTTAATTTACAAAGGTGTTATTGTGCTACAGGTCTTATTTTATTTTTTCTTTAACTCTACACTGTTTTTAATATCCACCCATTCTGCTGAATATGCATCTAATCTATTACTTCTGACTACTGCATTTACCACATTTTACTTATCTACTTCCTCAGTGTTGGGCAATTAAATTGCCTTTATTTTTTTTCTCAAGTTTTTATTTAAGTGTCAGTTAACTGTATAATATCAGTTTCAGGTGTAGAATTAATGATTCAACTCTTACGTGCAAATTCTGGTTCTTATCACAAGTGCTCCCCTTTTTTTAAAAAATTTTTTAACGTTTATTTTTTCAGAGAGAGAGAGAGAGAACACGAGTTGGGGAGGGGCAGAGAGAGAGGGAGATACAGAATCTAAAGCAGGCTCCA